AATATGCGCAGGTGTTTCTCTTTGTTCGCGGTTAAATGTAGACCGGGAATTTCTCGAAAATTGTAGATTAGGCTCATGTCACGGAATTTTCACGGAGTGGTTTATTTTTAGATACAATTAAGTGCATTTTCCTCTCGAAAATGGAAGCCCCCCTCTCTGTCTGAGCGAATTCTAAGTTTACGAAAGTATCAACAAAAGGTCATTTCCAGGTCTGAACGTTTTACTGACTGGTTTGTGCGGACTTCAATGAAAGATATCCCAAATCGCCAAAATCGCTTTAAAAATAAACTGCACAAGTCTCTCCCCATGTACCCAGCGTAGCAGGCGGGCGGAAGTAGGGGGCGCAAGAAAGAACGGGCGCGCGAGAGGGAGACACGAGCTACTCCCCATCTGACCAGGACAGTCTTGGATTCTGGATTCCACAGTGTGGATTCCGGATTCCATACACCGGATCCCAAATCTTGTCAGCAGAACTTGGATTCCAGATTCCATCGTAAGTGGGATTCCGGATTCCAAGAGTTGTAGTCCGTATTCCAAAGCCTAGGATTCGGGATTGCACAGGCAAAAATTTAGAGGATTCCGGATTCCACGAGAAAAATTTCCCGGATTCCAGAATCCGCATTCTCTTACATGGGGCGACAAATCGGTGCTCGCTCCAGGTTATGGGCTCCTATGCCCGCTTCCTTTTCCCGCCTCGCCACCAGAGCGCCCCGGAGAGCTTGCTCACAGGTTAGGGTATCATCACGTGACATGCATTGGGAAAACAAATACAAGCTAAAGAGGCGTAGTCAGGAAAGGCTTGCACCACGAAGCCTTTCTTAAACCCTGGCGTGAACGTTAATCGCTAACGTTAAACGTTTCTTAAACCCTGACCCTATTTAACGCAAGTAATTTAAATCGGAATGATTAAAAAGGCCGTTTTTTATTTCTTTTCTTTACTTTGTCATTCATGAAGCGTTGAATTGTAGGGTGAACTTATTTGAATCGTTTTGTTGGTGCCTTAATTAGGTAATAGGTTCCCTACATTGGTTTAGGTCCATGCTTTTAGGCGCCCTATAAAAGGATCAAAATACTAGATACCCTATTTGACGACTGAGCTCCTTGAAAAACATTCTCTTTTCCTATACATCTTAGGCTTTTATAGATTATGTTCGGCTAGTACTAGTTTTGAGCAATTTTTTTTTTAATTTTGCTCGTTTTAGAGCAACTTTTACGAAATGTTTAGCAAATTTTTTTAAGCCACAAATAAATTCTCAGGGTATGTCCCCGGCTGTACAAATGATGCTCATGGTCAGCTGATGAAAAAAGCCTTTAAAAAAGTAAAAGGCTACAATGATTACAGCCTTTTAGTATATTGTATCTGATCAGGACGATTAAAGACTGATAACTTCCAACTTGAGTATCCTAAGCTCTAAGAGAGGCTGAGCTGTCTGATCTTGTGGCTAACCAATAGATGAATAAACAACGTTAGAGCATATTTCTTAAAGCTATTATGCAATATATAATAATATGAATAACTTCAACTTCAACTTTCAACTTTCAACTTTATTTACACTCCAAGTCTTATTTACTTTCGGCAAGTTAGATGAAATGAGGGGAAAGAAGAATATGCAGAAATAAATGGCTTATGTTGACAGGTAACGTTTTTCATTTTTGGCCAGCTCCTGAGCAACTTTGGACCCCGCTTTTGTCAATCAAATTTTTCAGTAGTTTTGAGAACAATCTATGTATCCTTGATCGATCATAAATATGACAGTGCCTCCACACTACCCCTTCCCATTTTAGTTCCGGATGAGATTTCGTCTAAGTGGTAGCGTAGCAATACGAAGCTTACTCAGGGAACTCAAGGGTCTCATTTTTTTCAGGGCCACGCATAGCATAGTTTGGGTGTGACAGCTGTCTCTGATTCACCAACACAATTCACCAACACACTGCAATCTTTAGCTGTTTACTCTTTAAAAAGATTTAATAAGAAAATAGTAAGAAGAATCTATTTAAACAGGGAGCCCACGTCACACACGTGGTTTTTAGTGTGGCCCTGGGTTAAATATTATTACACATATAAAAACGCCTAAAATTACTTGAAGATAAAAATTTAAAAACTTTAAAAATGTAATTTGCAATAACAACTTTGCCCTTCTTTGCAAGGTTTTGTCTGACGCCCTTCAAAGCTGTCTTCAGGTTCCGATCATCCCTGCAAGAGATATGAACAGACTGGTAAGTCTTATAAGACCTTAAAGATCTGGTATAGCACATAAAAATGCTGCACTTGTAAGTCAGTTTAATAGAAGTTCAGTTTTTATTTTGTTGAAGAACAAGACATACCTTAACTAATGAATTTTACGTAATGAAGAAGCAAAGGCAATTAAACAAAAGCTGGACAGGAGAAGAGATGTGAGATAAGTGTCTTGCTTACTAAGAGAAGGCCTATAAAATCGGCGCACAAATGCCCCGACCGGCTAGCTCATTTGGTCAGCGGGACTACGGAGGGGTAGGCTGTTCAATTTTTGGCCGAACCAGCACAAGCGGGGGGGGGGGGGGAAAATAAGTGAGGAGAAAGACTTGCTCTTGTTATTCCACTTCCTAGATATATATTAAAACTGTAGGCCCGGTCTCAAAGCCGTCTTTAATGTCATTTTAGTGGGATGGAAAAGAAGGTGATGAAACCTTTAAAACAAACTGAAAAGAACAACAACAACAACATTGAAACAGTTTAATTTATTCTTGTTCTATTAGTCACAATCGGGACGAGTCCTGGTAAATCACTTTTTGCCACGTCCAGATGTTGAATATCGCCACGCTTTTAGCTTTAAATCATCTCTTAGAGTACGAGTCCCTGTGTAAATATCAGGCCCTTAAATCAATGCGTTACTGACTGGCTTTAGCTATAATTGTAAGGTCTTTTAAAAAATAAGTGCATGTTTATAGCAACCATTTAGTAGACAGCTCTGGCTGTTGTTCTCGTAACCCACTTTGGAATCCGGCAATTGTTCATTGAGCTGAAGCTTTTCAGTTCCTCAAATTTGCATTTATTGTTATTAACGTGATCCTTCGATCAACATTTTTCAATCAGGTTTTGTCCCTCTTTTTCAAATATGCTTGATTATTGGCGAAGAAAGGGAGATAAATCCGGCCCTGACAGAACGAAAACTCGAACTAAAAATAGTTTTTTTTTTTCGCACATGTGCCATGCGGGGCGTGACAAGTAAACGTAGTTCTGCCGAAACAAGAAGGCTTTTAAGACCCGGAAGATCATTCATGATCAGACAGTGGTGTAATGATGTAAACCGAACTACATTCATATTATAATTATTGGTAATTATTTAAAAAGAATTTTTTGAAACCTCTGTGTTCTAAAACTTTTTAAGTGAACAAAAAAAGTCTCTTAAGGGCTTAAAATATTGTTTCAAATAAAGGCTATGGCAGAAGTTGTGTTATGGAACCACTATCCTAAAACTAACGCTTTACTCTTTTTCTGTAACTTAGCTGCATACATAGTGTATAGGAAAAACTGTTTGAATGCAGAAGTCCACGGAACACGTAAATATAACTGATTGGTTACTCTTGTCGGATCTCTAATTCAAGAACTGTAGCCAGACGTCACTTGGAGTGTAAAATAAAACGAAACTGAATGCAAGGCTGGCACTACGGCAAATGGCTGATTTATTGTAGGCAAATATTTCGGCTAACAAAATTAGGGCCAGAGTTATGACGGGACAAAATATCTTTTAACGGCTCCTAAAATTTAAATTTTAAATTTACAGTGCATATTTTTTCCTTTCAACTAGACTCAAGTGGATATTCCAGCCTCATATAATGAAATTTAAACAAAGGTGGCTAAAGTTGTAATGGATCATCTTTGTAATAAAGAGTTCTATTCAAGCTTTAGTACCCTAATTGAACATGTTAGCTTTCCTGTTTCAAAAATTATAAGCGAATCACTCATCTCTCATTCAATTGAAACAGCTGGGCAGACTAATTATCAACGAAGCGGAGAAAGCGTTATTGTTTTCGAACACCCGATTCGATTTACCAAAACGATGAAATCGGACGGAAACAGCTTAGATTTCTGCCTCACTTTTTAATTAGTTACAATTTAATATGGTTTTAAAAGATGCTATTTTAGGCACAGTTCTGTAAGTTTTTGGACTCATTTCTCTAACGAGTAAGATACTTTAGTCAGTTTCTCTTGAAATGTACATTTTTGTGTTCTATTCAACGCGTGCAATTGACATATTTGGATATAACTACCCATTCTTTTTGTACACCAACATGTTTTCACTTAGCCAAAGAGAGACGACATTACGTGTCCGTCAGAGGTAGGGGAGGGATATGATAAAACCAATGTTTAACAACATTTCTTATTTGTGTCCAAAAATCGAAAAACAAACAGATTAGAAAATTGTTTGCGCGCCCGACTCTTCACAGATACTTTGGCAACAGTGATCCTTTGATCGCGGTATTTAAAGCCAATTTTCTCGGCTAGCGATCAACATTCTTTTGTATATCGCAGTGAGTTGTTTGCAAACGTCCATTAAACAAGGTATAGTGTGCGTACAATTGAGCCAGGGCGATCTCGCGGGCTCTACATCACACACGTGGCCCGTTCCACCTGGTTAACAATGCCGATTGTGTTCGCCACGCGCAACAAGTCTCCGCGAAACAAAACCATCAAATAACGATTAATTGCTTTCTCGTTAATTATGAATCGCACTTAGTTCCTTGCTGCTCGGGTAAGAAAACTGCGGCAAATAAAACCCTTCCATCGCTCGCCACCTGCCCTTGATCGCGCGTGGGCGGCCAACCATTGGACCCTGGCGGTCACGTGACCACACAATAAGTCAATTCTAGTCAAAGTTTTGAATTCTGGGGTTTTGAATGTTCGCTAGCTTGTCAGTGTGAGTAATGTTGAGTAGCCAAGTCAGATTTCATGGTCGACTCGTAGAACGTGCGGCTCAGTCCGGTTGGATTTACCCCTTGATGGGGTATCGGCATATAGCATGTGGAATATACTGAACATCGTCTTCTATTTGACAATTTACGTTAATGGCAAGGCAGGTAATTTTGGACGGGGGATTTCTGGTGAAGCTTCCTGATCGCTTGTATTTACTATACACCAAGAGTTGTAAACGTCGCAGGCAGTCATCTTGTTTACTCTGATTTTCTTGCAGTGGTCGGGCACTACTACCGCCGTCTCAGGTCCAGGGAGGGTCAGAAAACTTGTACGCCGCGCCTTGCACCCTCGTTATTTAAAAAGTTCTGTAAAGGTGTACGGCTATGTGAGAACGACAAATGGTGCCGGGGGCCAGAGATTTGTTCATGCCATGAACATTGCGGGAAAGTGTGCATTGACCCAAGTAAGTCTTACGGTTTACTTAAAATTCTGCGAAATTCAATCGCTCGTTCGCCTTGTTTGCATCAAAGAAGTCTAGTTCATGACAAGGGAAAATCTTTTCCTTACGGTAAAATTAAAGTTATTCAAATTAAAACGAGTCCCGTTTCTCTTATCAGCGACATAAATTTAACTTGTTAATATTTTACCAGGAGAAATGTCGAGTAAAGCCTCGTTGTTTCCATTGATGATCAATACACAACAACAGTCACCGATCGATTAAATCTAACTTCAGTGATTTCTTGTGCCCTCCACGAGGCATGAAATTAATGAAGCGGTAAGGAAATTTTATTTTGGATCGTCTCTTCTGTGTTATTTCCTTATCCAAAACTAAGAATTTTATTCAGCAAATAAATCAAGTGGTAGGCGTCCCATAGATTAGTTTCCATTTAAGTTTTAACTTCATTAGAGTGATTTCAAGGGATGGCCCGTTGATTCACTCCATGGACGTCCTTTGATCTGTTTATTCACTCCTCGGAGAGCGGGATTTTTAGATCCTATTATTATCAGCCAGATAGCTCTGGTTGATCTATTGCACTGACTGAAACGTGAATGGATGACTGAATGATTGGCATTGGGGTCAGTGAAGCTTTACTTTCATTTCAAGTCGTTTCGAATCGTACACCTGTTTATCTGCCGGCTCAATGGTGGCTTTTCGATTTTATTTTGCACCAATAGCCTGGAGCCATTTGCGATTAATTTTCACTCGCTATCTGACAATATCATTGTAAAGCCGATGATTGAAAATGACTGCAAGCATAGGTCGCGCTCGATCTCCGGGAATTTTTTCCCTTTTCAAAAAAAAGAAAATCTAGGAAAAAAAATTGCGCACGACTAAGGACCAAGATTACACCCTACTCTTGACTCTTATCTTTCGTTTACAAAAGTGCCTTTCTTGATTAGTAGCCGGCCAGTTCCCGCGAGTTCTCTTGTTTCCAACAGCTGTTCCAGTGTTGGTGTTTTCCCTTTGAAAGTGAGGGATATTTAAATCGCCGTCTGTTGTAGCACTGTCTCCCGCTTAGCTCGCGCAGAGGCTGTCGTGCTTAGGTCTTGAAAGGGGTTTCTTTTGTGTCACTTTGACAGAAAACCCGCTTAAACATGACGTATGGCACGTGTCGCACGCTTTAGTCCAAATAATCGTTCCTTTCCATAAGTGAAATTCGATTTCGTTCAGCTTGGTTAAAAAGTCTTTTCATTTAATCTACGCGCTTCCTTAAACTCGCCCGGAGGTTGTTGTAAATTACAAAATGAAGTTTACGTTATTAAAGTACCGCAAACTCTAAACAGAATTCTTATGATAGATGCCGGTCGTGACATGGATTCAAGCGGACTTAAGTCCGCCCGTGGCAAATTGTTTGGTAATTTTGACGTACGCGTTAAATGTTATTTTATTGTTAATTGTCATACAGCCCAAAAATCCCGGTCTATTCGAGCATGTGTTACTTTGCAAAATTGAAAAGCGGAATTCTATTTTCCATTGATTCAAGTCTTGGAAACCATTGTAGAACATGTGAAAAGAATAAGACCCGTTTTACGCGAACTAATTTTCCAGAACAAAAGGCCTCTTTTTGTGATTTGACATGCTCGAGTAAAGACCGCGCTGTGGAAGACTTCAACTTTGTCAGTCGGTTTAATAATAGGATTTTTTAAGTAAACAGAGGACCAGAAACTTTTTATGCAGTAAAGTTCAATTTTTCTAAATAAGAAAGGTTAAGAATTGACACAACAACAAAAACAGGACAAGTCTTATAGTTTTCGCTTTTTCTTTTTGGTAAAGCGGAGCTAAAAAGAAATCTCTTTAAATGCATGTCGCCGGTTCGTAGAGTATGAGAATTTTCAAGAGGATTCTAGCACTATTCGCCTTAAAACTGTGGCATTTGACACTGAAATGAAACGCGTTGTCAAACTAAAACAAAACCTTTGTCCATTTTCTAAGTTCGCGCGTTTTAATCTTTCCTTGCGATTCCCAGAGCTATCATTAAGAAGGCGAGAAAATACGCATTATTCGAACATATACAGGGATCAAAGATGTTTACCTACAGGGTGCGATATGTTTGCATAAAAATGAAAACAGCCACAGTATTTAATGAGAAATGCTTTTCTGAGAATTGAAAGCCGTTATTAAAAAGAGCTCGGGCGTTGTTCTAATTATAGAGAAATTGTCATGGAAGCGAGTTTAGGCTACTTGAAGAAGAAAAAACAGACTGCGCGCGTTTTGTCTCTCTTTTTTGGATCGCGTTGGACATCACTCAAGGCGAAGTCATAAGCACGAAACAGCTTTTTACTTGCCTCAAACGATGAACAGTTCGAGAACTCCGCGAGAGGTCACATTGAATTATTGAATGAAATCCTGGTGAAAGCCTTTGTTATCCAAATTGTCAAAAAACGTTTTGGGGGTGTGCTTAATTTCCATAAAAATCATTCGTTGACAAAGAAATCAAAGCTTAAGTAACCTTTCATTGTCATTGATTTTCTTTTGTACAGTCTGCTTTAAAATCTACTTTATTGTATTGTATCTAACTCATTCATTTTGCCTCCCTTATCAAATTATGTCATAGCTGAATTGGTTTCTGGCATCTCGGTCTTACTCGTTTCAAAACAGTATTGGTTTCGCGCGCGAAGTTTATTCTGTTTAGATCTACAAATAGACTTGGTTTAGCTGCTGAAAAGATAAATAAAAGAAAGGCCTGGATCAAATAAGGAAAATATTTATTCACTCGTGTATCAGTTCAAAGACTGTGGATATTTGTTTTTTCCCTGTGTTTTGTTTCTTCCTTTTCCCTGAAATAATTTCGAAAAATTACGCATGCTTTTCTGTACTTTTGTGCTCAAAACATTACTCCACTTCGAATAAAGTAATTTCGCAGTCCACGTTGAACTCATAATCCCGAAACAAAATGGGCCCCAATTTCTTAAAGGTATCTTAGAGACACTAAAAGAAATTTTGTCTTTCAAAGCTACCACAAAAATACTTAAAGACACAGGAAGTCTTTGGACTATTTTGTAAGTTAACAGGAATAGCTTATTTCACTTTCGAGTCAATTTGTGTATGTTTTCAGGTCTTTCAGTTTTACTTCCCGTATTTCAAACAAAGACTTTTAAGCAAGTGATACACATGTTGTCTTCTCCACGTGGCTCGCTGCAAATAACTGACAATATTGTTTTTGATTTCTGTCAGTCAATTCAGTCCAACAGATTTAGTTTGGCTGAGAGAATCATCTATAGCTTATACTAATCCTTTAAATTTCTAACCTCATGAAATTCTCAGTAAGAAAGAAACGCCCTTAGATTTGTAAGGACATACAGCCAAACGTTTTCTCTTCGAATTTATACCAAGGTCCCGCAGAGAGGAGAGTTTTCGACACGATGAAATATCTTAAGACTTCCTTTGAGAAGAAACCACGGGAATTTAAAGCAATTTTGACCATTTGTGGTCCCATAATTGAATATTCTAACTTGAGGGAATGATAATTACACGTCCTTTGTATTATTATGCTTCCAACGTTGCTGAAGACCTTTGCCGCATTTTATCACCGCACCTCAGACTGAAACGAACTGTGAATACAGTAAATCCTTATGACCTCACGGTTATGATATCAGGGGCACCCAACGGCAATTTTCGGGAAAATATCTGTTCGAAAGACGATTTGAGAACTAACGGAATTTTCGGAACATTTGTTGTAAAATTTCTTGCTTGCCTGCCTCTCCAAGGATTTTCGAACATCTACAAAATGGTATAATTACCCATTTTAAACGGATATTTACCCTAAAAAAGGCCACCTAGAATTTTCGGGAGCCTTTTCCTGGCTGAAATTTTAGAAAAGGTAAGTTATGATCCCTATAATTTTCGGATCACTAGACTTTCAGCTAGGAAATCCGAACAGATGAAAAGTTTTTAGGGGATAAAAATATGCCTATATCTACCGTTTAAATACTAAAATACGTTCAACAATCCTATGTTAAGTGGTTTTGAACTATATCCTCGTTGGGTGCCCCTGTGATATCAAAACTTCTAAGTTTCATAAGGGAATATGTTCCGAAACAGGAAAACGTACCGTAGGACTAAGTTAACTAAGGCGTTTTCTTCGAATTTCGATTGGTATCACGCCATGCGGGCCGGAGCTCACATTCACATGACTAAAGTGGAACCTCGATGTAACGAACCTCTGTATAGATCGTTCGTTATAACGAACGATTTCTTTACTCCAGTGATAATTAAATATATGGAGCAAAGCACCGTTATAGAGAATATATTTTGCTAGTCCCTTGCAGACCTTTGGTTATTTTGAGGTTCCACTATATACAGATACAAAAGTTAGGAGCTTTTGGTCTAGCTTGCACAGCATAAAAATCGTAGCCACCATAGTTAAGTACGAAAAAGAGCTATCATAATTCTACGTCCCATGACAGTTTATCCACAGATTCGATGGTGGAAATTGAAATTATCAGTTCATAAACGACTTAAGCTCTTGAAAGAAGGAAGAATTCCGGAATTTTTGCTTTTGAGTTGTGGTGACTGCGCGATGAAAGGACTACCGTAAAGTTCCCATAGTAGCGACCCCCCGAAAGTTAGGATCCCCAAAGTAACGTCAAAAGTTTCTGACTTCTAATAAACCCCGAAAATAGGGAGCTCCCGAACGTAGTGACACCCTCGAAAGCAGCGAGCCCCCAAAAACTATCGAGGCTAAGTTTTTTCAATTACGTTATAAACATACCGAATGTCTTTATTGTTTTCCAGTTGCAATCCATGGACAAATTTTTAATGTACAATACTAACATCTTCGTGCATTTACAAATTTATCACGATAAGGCACCAAGGGAAACATGATCAAACATGGCATACCTGAAACTATCATTCGTCGGGTTGACGTCAGTTCACAGATTGCACAATGTAAAAACTAAATTGATTATATAAAGTTCATATCAACAACATGAACGTTTCTTTCAAGTTAAAACTGAAACTTCTGTATACTACACTATGAAACGACTTTGTTTGTCATGGAGTAAAAGCACTAAGTTTAGCTTTCCTCCCCTGAGTCGGAGAAGAATTTATTGCTCTCGTTTCTTATCAGAGTATTGCTGTATTTAGTACGTAGTATACCATAAAACACAAATAATTAAATGTTTGTTTTTTAATATTATGTTGTTTACTTTTCGTTTGGGGAAAGAGCTAGCGCCAATTTGTTTCATCGTTTTTGGTCCCCCGAAAATAACGACCCCTCGAGAGTAACGAGCCCCAAAGGCTGCTAATTTCGAAAGTAACGAGGATCGCTAGCTACTATGGGAACTTTACCTGACGGTAGCAATTTAAAAAACGCTTACAATTAAATCAAACTGACCTATTTTTAATTTTGAAAACTTCCTCGCTATATAAGCCTCATAGGACTAATAGCAGCTGGTATCGAAACCTCCTAATGCAGATTTAATTGTGCAATTTTATCTCGAGATGGAGAGGGTCACCTTCCTTGTTATCTCTGAAGTACAGTGAATAATTACGACGACATCGATTTATGGCATGGTGACCTAGAGTAAAGACACCTTAGCTAGGGCCAAAATATTTCTTTCCGTGCTTTATCATCTCCAAGATTAAGAAATTTAAGGGACCGCCCAAAACCCTTTTCTTCAAGCTCTGAATTCATCATAGCCATTGCTACTTAGCTAGTAGCGCAGGTGAAAGTTTCACTTTTTAGAAAAAGAGCTTTATTCGTTCAATTAACTTTGAGTAACTCAATTAAGGTCAAGGAGTTTTTTGGCACAATTTTAAAGGTAATTTTCCCAGCCTTTGTTTCATCACTAAGGTTTATATGTTTATGCTTATCAGGAAACCATAAATGTTCGCATAATTGCCGGAAATCTGCATATGTGACCTCATCGTGCCTTTTGGTCGGACAAATCGGCAAACTTCCAAATACCAGTAACATTAACTTCTATATGCAAATCCAGTTAGACGTTTATGACAGCACTTTCCGAGCAAGATAACGAGCAATGCATAATCACTTTGTGAAGATAGGGAGCGAGGTGACCGTCTGCCTGACCCCTTTTGGTGCCATTCGCAGTCAAATAAAAATGCCAAATTTAATTTGAAAAGAAGAATGAAAAAGATGATCCGTACCGCAAAAAGGAAGAACTGCCAACAGATTTACTTTTAATTGCCAAACTTAACGATTTCAGCTACTACTTTGATCAAAAGTTGTAAGCCACAAAGTACGGCACCTCGGGAAAGAGGCTCAGCTAAACAATAAAAGATATTCAAGCATCCAACGATTTTTTTCTGTAAAATATCTTTTCGAAGCATCAAATATTGCCTAGAATTTTCTTAAGCTCTAGCAAGGCTAAAGAGCTCTGGATAATTATAACCGTTTTATTACAACTTGTCCTCGGAAAAAAGCTAGAAAAGAATTATTGAAGCTAAAGAAAGGCCGGCATACAACATTCTCCAAACATTTTGTTAGGATAGTAGCTACGACAGTAGCTAGAACGTTTGCAATAAATCTTTATAACTGTTTTCAAAAAACATAACTGATTAATCGGGTAATCTACAACAATCTAGAACAGTATTTTTAAAACTGACGACAGTGCTTTTTGCAAGGTGGTCCTAACTTGGTAGGTCTAGAATTAAATCCTAAACTTTGAACTTTCAATTGAAAGCTAAATATATCCCACCAAAGTGGCCCGGGTTTAACTGAATTCCTCCAGGAGGCAACACCATTGCATGGTTAAGTTTGTTGTTGGTTCTCTGTCTTCCTCCGGAAAGTTTTTCTCCCGGTACCTCAGTTTTCCGCTTTCCAAGTTCCAGTGCGATCAGAAAGAATATACAAAGAATCCCTTTATGGATGTGTGCTACCACTAAATCTTTATTCATCTATTTTATCTGTTAAGTAGTATTTTCTTCTGCAGATTGAATCAGTGCACTTAAGAGCGACCCTCCCACTAGACTTTTTGGAAGAGTGTTTCACGCGTTTCGCATTCAATGTCATTCATTTTCTGAGTGTTGAATAAAAAGATTACCAACAAAAATAGGGCAATACCTCAGCTGTTTTCGAGAAAAGGAGAAACTGACACGGTTTTGTATATAAAACGGACACATTTAGGTTATCTTACACAAAACAAAAATCAAATCAGTTATAAAGACATTTCCCATAACGGCCGGCTAATTTTCTGGAGATAAAAGCGACTTGTGTGATAGTAAACTGCATAGCGCTTGAAAAAAAATATCTCTATTGTTCTTTTTAACTTTGATAACGGTTTGCATTAAAAAAACGGAAGCTTCTTAGACATTTAATAAGCATTTGGTGTCATTGACCGCGATACTTCAGGGCACCTTTAGGAACTTAAGCTCGATTTTCGAGTCGTTTAGAGAGTCCGTTTTTTAATTGCCATCAAGGTGAATGAATAGGTGCGCTTTGGAGTCTGCAGATAAATCCAGTTAAGTATATTTTATAATCATATAAGGCGTTAACCCATTGACACCAACTCTTTAAGTATAAGGCACATAACTGGCGCCATGCATCTCTGTAGTGCCACAATTAAACTTGAACCCAGTACGTGTAACGTCATCACTAGTTCTGTTCAATAAGACTGTCAATTTTAAACATAAATTGTGCTGGAGGAAAAAAAATCTCTCAAATCATGCTTTAGCTAGCGTGGCAGGCTTTCGAAAGGGGAAGGCAAAAGAGAAACTGAGAACATCCTCTCCTCTATGACTGCTTCTCGACGAAGCCCGATCTTTCCTCTCCAGACCGCTCCCTCGGCTTTCGACTGAGTGAATCCACAAGATTCCAGTAAATACGGTTGTAAATTAAAGCTTTAGAAAAAAATAGTCTGTGATGAACGTTTTTGTGGAAGCCTTTTTTGTCTACTGGAAATCAAATAATTGAAGATAAAACGAAAACGAAAAACGAAGAATTCAAATTTACTTCATGAGCATGTATGTACCAATCCCAAAACTCGCGTCTTAATTGATCAATCAATTCATTCATACATTTTTTAGTTTCGTGCAAATTCTAGAATATTTTTGCATCATTTTTTCGCCAGGGAAGGTTAAAGGGCTTTAAACATTTAACCTTAAAAGGCAACTATTTGCAAAAGTTTCAGCAGTTCGGAAATAACCCCAAATCTTGTTATTTCTAAATGTCAAAAGATCAAATATAATTAGTGATATGATCATGACCTGAGTGTTTGAAGGTGGCATACGCGCACAGTATTCTGAACTTTCCTGAGCTTTCTCAACGGCGCAAAATGTGTTGCGCAATAGGTCGCGTAGCTGTCTTTTTGCAGTTAGCCAGATTAAGGGGTCGCAAACAAGGTCGAAGAAAGAAAAGACTAGAACGAACAAACTGACCAGTTAGCACGAGGTTCCTGACATACCTTTTCTCCTCGATGACCCTGACATTTCATCTGTATCATTGTATCTACTGACACACAATCATACAGACATGTTTGTTGGAAATAGGAACGTAAAACGCATCTAAAAGCAATCATTTTGTAAGAACCTTAAACTGCGAGCAGTTTTTCTTCAGATTTAGTGAGGGGTGTGCACGCGCGCGCGAGCGTCGAGCGCTGAAGTCGCGAGTTGCTCTCCTGTCTCGCGCCTTCAGTAACCCGCGTGGTCATTTGCGTGTCTCGCGCGTTTTTCTCGATGGACCAAGACTGAACGAGAGACTGCTCGTAGTCTATAAGAACCTGGGCAAAGGTTAGAGAAAGAGTGTCGGGGAGTTAGATTTGGGGATTGCATCCTACAGCCAATGGTCGCCTGTGTGCGTTCATATCTTCAAAGTAACATTTGAGGAACAGACGTAATGGCGTGATTGATATCACAATAAAATATATGAAGTTGGTTGCGTATGTGAATATTGTGACATTCAGGAAGTAACACATACTGAAACGACCAAGTAAGAATCTCATTGCCCATCAGGCTTTCCTACTAGAGTATACTGAATGAGTTATATAACACCTTTTTACTTATTTTTTACACTTTTTACGCTTTTTTGTTCCTACTTTCTTTTACTGGTTCGCCTTGATTTGCGAAGATTTCTAAATTTCGCAAAATCGAAAACTACGCTGTTGTACTATATATTGCCGAATATGAACTCATTAGTTAGTGATACTATCTAATGATTTGCCAATGCTTTAAACAAAACTTAGACGTGTTCAGTAAGGTTTTCAACTTTTCACCGATACCTGTGACAAAGAATAGCACTTAGTATTCTTTCTTAGTTTTATTCCATATTATTTTTATTTACTAAGAGCGATGTTTAAGTTTGAGAACCCATAGAGATATTGTGGTGCGCAAAATATTAACGAGAACCGCAACAGTATTCCGAGTACTCTGAGTGATGCTTGGAAGTTTGGTATAAACAATCTAAGTACGTCGTTTGTTGCTAAGCAGAAAAAATAAAATTAGGAGCTTGCTATTCATAAGAATGAAATCAAGGAGAAACTGGTTAAAAGGCAGGAAAATGACTAGCAAAGATAGGCAAAAAGTCGGTCAAAGATATCCCAGTTACACAGGACTAAAAACAAGCTTCCGTTACTACTCCATAAATTCCTGATGAAAGACCCTTTTGAGACGCATTTTGCATCCTTTAAACGTTTTTTCCCCCATAATGTCTATTTCCGCAGCACACTTTTTTTCTATTATCGGCGACACATTGTTAGTTACATTTTATCAAATTCTGTGGATAATAATGCGTTAGGTTAGCATACAGGTCGGCGTAAAGCCCGCACGAACCCGGTTGCTTGTTACGTCAAGGCGAATAAGCTGATTGGGATTAAAAACGAAATATGCCGAGGTCGTCTGTTGTCGGAATGCCAATGTATCTTTCCCAATGCGAAAGTAAACGTCGGACTATAAACATAACATAGCGGTGACATAATCAGCCATTACACGGGAATTTAAACATTCCTGTAGCAATGTAAATGGGGTGATACCCAAGTCAATCTTCCCTTTCTTTTCGCTTTCCATTATCTCCAATTTCTCTTTTCCCTTTTTCTTTTTCCATTTTTTTAACGCCCTGGAAAAAGATTTTGTCATAGCCGATCATTGCAATCGACACCGTATAAAGCCATAGTCGCCTGGCCATTGATGTTGGTGCTGATGTCATTCCGGCATTGATGTACGTAAGCTCTAACAAGAGACACCTCTATAATACTTCCACCAAAAATTCAAATAATGTGTGGTAGGAAAGAAGTACCTATCGTCTCTGTGGATTAAATCCTGAATTCTGACATTCAAATAATTCCTGAAATTCACGGAGCTTCTTTCTAGCAATGGTCCAGGGAGGTTACTAGATAGTCAGTGTTGAATGTTTAATCTCACGTTTGAAAAACTCTATTAAATACTACTGTCGTATGCTAATTTAGTGTGGGAGTCATTGCCTTCTTCTCTGGCTTATCATTTAGCCAGTTTCCTTGAACATCTAGAGCACTTGGAAGGCACTGTGCTCCAGAATGCCACTAAAATATATCGGTGAATGCTCTGCCCACAATTGTACACACGCGTCATCGTAATAACCACCACCGAAGAACACGCGGTTTTGAAGACAAGCAATATCAACTGAAAGACAACGCGCAAAGCTTTGCGTGCGCCATTTTGGGGTGGTGCTGACGTGGGCGCGGAAAATACCTTGTCATAAGGCAATTTACTCCCTTAATTAATCACCTCTGAAACGTTTAAGTTCTATAAACTTAGTATCGTAATAAAAGATTTTAACCATTTAATGTAGGGGTTGCATAATTACCTAGAAACGCTATAACAAGCACGCACAGCGTATAGGCAATAAATTAATCTACCGAACCAATATCTTTCAGTTCACTTAATTTTCTCTAAGGCCCCATTTACTCATTATTACAGAACAATACAAAGGGCAATACCGACCTAACAATTTACTAATTGTTTTCAGGAAAGGTTAATTTTCCATTCATTAATTTCATTTTGCAAAAAAAAAATGGATTTTTCGCTAGAAGACTTTTCAAATTTCTAATTAGAAAATTTGACAACTGGAGTCTTTGCAAAGAAATTTTTTCTGTTTCCTTTCTGTAAGCTTTGCTTTTAGTGAAATTGATCTGAACTTGTACAGTACAAGAGATTGCTTGATCATGTTTTTTAAAAAAAGATTTTTCTTGTCGATCTAAACAAATTTACTAATAGCTCATTTAAACGGAAGCAATTAGAGCCGCTTTGCTGTACAGACCTCCGCAATCTTATAGATAATAACTGAGCTGCACTTTAAATATGGAATGACTCTCTAAAGAACCAACCTTTAAAGAAGTTAATACTTTTTCAAAGATCTTTCCTCTTTATTCTCCTTACTAAATACGTTTACCAATCTCTCCCTTCAAAAAATGACGTGAGCGTGATATTTCAGTCGCGTGATTCTTGGGTCGCTGCGTCTGAGGTAGCTTTCGTCCGTGATTTCCTGTAATGCGGTTTTTCGCACCCTACAGCAATATATTTTATATACAACTTAAGATCATAAACTTTGAAAATGGTTTTCTAGAAACAAGACACATGATTAGTCATGTATTCACCGTTAACTGACATCAAGACCGCCCAGGTTGTCTGACAGTGTATAGAATGTTTTGCAAATATATCAAATATTCAAATGAACGAACTAACTCTGGAGAGAAACGGTGTCCTTCCATATATTTTCAGCAAAACTGACAAAGTGTTTGAACCACGTTTTAGATGATAGGATGAGCTAAATGTTTTTTTTAAGAAATCATTGATAAAAATGGATTTCTAATACAATTGCAACTAGAGTATAACTTAGGACTCAGGTCGCCATTCATGAGTCGAGGATTATATCTGCTTACAAGCGCGCTCTACCGCTGAGAGCTCGTCCGTGTTAAAGTGATTTCCTCTTAATAAAACAGCCAGTGGCAGTCGTGCAGTGATAATGCAAAAATGAAGCAAACACATGAACTTCAAACATGATTAGCAAAAGAAAATTAATTCATCTAAATCTCGTAACGATCGAAAGGAATCATCCAAAGAACCAAACGCGTTTTCCGACAAGACTTTTTTGATGTCCCATCAAAAAAAGGCTCTTTGATTGTTTTTGTTTTTTTTTTTCTTTCGATGGAGATGACTGGGCAGAAGTGGATTAAGCATTAAGGCACATAAAGAGGTCTTTTCATTCGAAAAGTACGAACATTGGCAATCAATGCCCCAATACTGAACACGCAAAGCCTTACAAGATACCCGCTAAGCCTACGCAAACAAAGACTCGCTCCTCCATATGATCAAAGTTGGCTTTGTTAGACCATGCATGCAAATGAATCAGAGAGGCTATAAATAAACAAAGGAGTCCAGTTTGGACAACCTTTCAAACTGAAAACATTGAAACCAGGGCTGAGGGAAATATGCGTGGAGACCTCAAGTGGGTTAAGCGCCAAAGCTTAACATATTTTCAGTAATATTTTGTGTAAGTTATTGTTTGCTATAAAGAGATGATGTTTTTCCTTTTATTTCACCACCTGCAGCTAGTGAAGGGAATCGAACCGTTACAATTGGCTTAACTCGTCAAAGTTATTGCAATGTTATGGCCCAGGAATAACCGTTTCTTTGCGAAACACGTATAAAGTCTGAACAACATTTTACGCAGAATCTTATACTTAGTCTTGAAATGTTCAGTGAACACTGCTTTTGTGAAAAGCATAAATTTCAGTCAAATCCTAAGAACTTTATGCAAAAAATTAAAAACCTTTTTCCGTTGGAAATTAACAAACTGTATATTAAAGCGGCACACTTCGGTTTGGAGATGTGAGACCTGCTGAAAACTCTCAGCACCTCTGGGCCGTAAACTATGGTTTAGCGTTCACAGGGCCACTAATTGAACGTTAGCCTACAAAAGGTGTAACTGTACTCGGTGTGCCGTCTTCTTTGTCGATCGAAGGAATTAGCAGAAAAACTTTCATTTCATTGCAATCCATTGCTATCTCTCTGTAATATTAAAACGCCGATTTTGGTTGCTTGTTCTTAAGACAGGTGTATATTTTTCAGGCCTGTAATTGTTGGCTTAACATATACCCGCGCTGTTGACTTCAATTGAAGATAGCATTATGCTATTCAATGAATCGCGTTCAAAAATCTTTTTCAATTGAGAATTTCTAACATTCCTCGTCTAAAGCTTTGCTGTGGAGTTATATTCCTTACCTTCGACTCAATTCTTCTCGATTTCGCCGGGTTGTGTCCATGGATCAGTGGATTGCCGCAGCACTTTATGTTGCGGTGACTGATTCAGTACTGGTTTGAAATGCCATCTAGCTTGACTTTTACGCCAATAAACTAACTGATTGAACTTATTGAAATTCTATACTTCGATCAGTAAGCGAAGCCCTAAAGGATCACAATTTAAGTCCTTCGTTTCTCGGATGCACAGCATGGAATATTACTCGGTTTAGAGAGAAGAACGGACGCTCTCCGCGATAGGGTTTCACCTACACACTTTACGAACGTGTTTATTGTTTAACTTTGAATTCAGCTGATGGTCATTTGTACAGTTCCTCTTTTGCCATTTAGCCGGCCACAAATACAACGTGTTTATCGCGTTTTCTTTGTGAGGTTAATTCCACCCGCCTTCATTAATCAGCAACAACACAGTTGTACTCCCTAGAGATGGAGAAGGCCTTGTTTGCCGAAAGAAAATGGTGCACTCTGATTGGCTGTGTTTGAGTGTTTTTTTCAAACGATCATGTGTTCCATTGTTAAGTACACGATGCCACTTGTCGTAACATTTTTTTGTGTGGCTTGAAGCCACTGTACCCTTTTTATTTCCTTTGATACATTAAAAAGATCATCACGCCAATACAAGAAAATAAGCAGACTTCTCGATTCTATCACTCACTGCCAATTTTTTTACTCTTAAACTTGACCCTGAGAGAGTTCATGAGAAGGTGTGACAAGCACCTAGGTTTTCGAGATCATTTGCGGGCTCACAAGTCAGTGTAAAATGAATGGAATCACATTACGGCAATAAACTGGAACAATAGAAAAGTTCATTGAGTTTCATCAAAAGACAAACTACTCCCAGTAACAACATGAACAAAAGAAATGTAACGTAGGTTAATCAGTAGATCACGGACACTTTCAAAAAATGACAGCTTCTTTCTCCCCGGTTTGTTTGATCAAGCCTTTCTTCTTTCTTTCTTTCTTTCTATTTTTTCTTTTTTCTTTTTTCTTTTTTCAATTCAACAACGTCGCCCCAAGGATGTTTTGATAGTTTCTGCGTACACCTGTTAATTTTCCTGAAAGTAGTTTTTTTGTTATGACGGGTGGGACTGACCCAAGAACACATGGTCTTAGACATAGTCTAAGCCTTACTTGACAATCTCGTCACCTGTACCACCTCCCCACCACCCCCCTGAATTAACATTCTATCGACACGTGGCGCGAAGTCATATGACTTGCGTCACGTGATTGCCTATTTTAGCGCTTTTCTTTTTTGCTCTTTTTGGAAATGAACGCTCCAATATTGCTGACAGGCAAAACAATATTGCAAAAGAGCTCGTCAAACAAATTGGAATTCATAGCTGTGCTTAAGTGCTGCAAATAGTATTTTCAGTTAGGGTAAAAGAGAAAGCACACCAACAATAGGAATATTTCAAGGACATTTTATAGCAATGCTATTGATCTTAGTGTAAGTCTACACAAGGTCACACAGAATGAACATAATCTCTAAAGAAGATATTTAATCAATAAGAATCAGAGATTCTTCGCTATATAGTAAAAAATAGATAGATATCGATTTATGAGTGGTAATCACAACGTGGCATCTAAAATTGTTGAACAAGTCTGGACCTGCAATTTATGCAAACGACTCTAGACCCCAAAATCGGTGAAGTTTTGTCTATGTTGTATTGTTCGTATTAACATGTCATAATTCGATTTTATTAACTTGTGAAAATCTTTGTGTCAATATTCAATGCGATTTTGAAATATCGCCAGGTTGGATGTTTACATTGACAAATGGTAATTCATCTTGTGCATTGCTCGGGCTTTTTTCGAAGGTTCCTTAAGACAACAAACTAAGGGAAAATTCTAGTTCTTAAAGAAAGATAATCGTATTAAGGTCCTCCTTGCACTTTACTTGCTCGGAGAGAAATTCTATACTGTATTTAGTTTTTCATTTAGGGATGAGGAGGTAATTGTACATTTCTTTCACAATTCACCACGTTTCAAAGAAACACAAAACCGGAAAAAGCTGGTTAACATTTTGAAAGGAACTCTGTCGTACATATTTCAATAGTCAATCCCTTTCGTATGGTTTGTTACAAACGTTAAGCCTTTATTTCGTCTGGCTTTTGTTAAAAAAAAACCAGAGAAACTTATATAAATAAACACGAAATTAATCGAGATAATCTTTGACTCGAAAAAATCAGCTTAGCAAAATTGTGTTGTTCTGTCCGTCTGGGGCAGTATCCAGTTTATTTTTAAAACAATTCCTGTCATTTATATGCTGTTATCACGGAAATCACGGGAAAGAAACAGTCTTAACAGCAACAAGATCCTGTGGGTGTAGTCTACTCTAAACCTTAAAATCCAAAAACAATTTTCCAAGCGACCAACACTGCCTTAAAACGACAACACAGCGCTTTCCGCTTCACTTTAGATGCCTTATCTCACCGTGGGAAAAATAAGGTCGCTTTAAATTTCGAAAGTTGCTATGGAAACTCTCTGAAAGGCACTTCACAGAAGTGAAACCTTACTTTAAGGCAGTTTTTGAAAATTTAAGAAAACTCTTTGAAAAGTATAGTTTATGAATGGGGAATGAAGACTTTTTACAAAAAAGGGAGCATTACTGAAGAACGATCGTTACTTCGGGTTCGTATGCAGGTCACGCGTTAACTACTGTTTTGACATTTCGACATGATTTTGTTCGAAAAGTGTTTATTGCCCTGTAAATGCAATCATTAATGTGTCAACCAAATCAAATAACCTGAATAAGTAGGTCGCTGAAAGTAGAATGTGGCTTTTTCGCTTTGCTGCGACCACCTGACTACAAAACGTCGTAACTTGCACGTCCTTTGCGATTTTCCCACGTTTTGTAATCCCTGCAAGTGAAAAGAAAACCTTGGCCTACCCGTTGATGCTGACTAATTAGACAGGGACAATTACGGCTCTCTTGCCAGGCCGTGACGACACAAAACGCACGGCACTCAAGCCGATTTTCAAAGGCGGAGCCGATTCATTGGTCAAACAGGAACCGGGCTCCGTGATTGGACAATCTCGCCACAAAGGAAGGAGAGCGCGGCGCTTGTCAGTGGAAATGTCGGCGTTAACATTGCATATGCAAATACATCTGTTGGAGACCACTTGGGAGTTGAACTCAGTGAAACTCTACTCCGGTTGTGGGAACACTGTGCTTTTCACGGATTGATGTCGAGTTGCCCAACGATGCTCAAAACTTGATCCAAGTTTACGGGAACTGAACAGCAAGTTCACTATGAAGGGCTTTGCGATCGCCATTGCTTCGGTCTTGTTCATTCCGATAGTCCTTTCTGGTAAGTTGTTTTTCGAGATGCGTGTTCTGGGCCATATTACAACCGTCAAACAAACTGGATGGCACTCTGGATAAATGCTTCTCGAACTCAGTTCATTGGACTCCTGGCTCGTCTCTGCGGAAAGCTCGCTTCGAATGTGGAAATCTGCGGCTTTGACAGAAGTTTGATTGCAGCTTAAAGAAGGAATCTAGCGCTTAATTGAAAAGACGGTTGAATTCATTCCGTGGGGCGCACATCATTGTGTCTAACTGCGGCTATATTTACGCCTCTCGTTGATAATTACGTCGGTCGATTCCACGCAAATCTTGCTCCGATCGTACGGCATCATTCAAGTTCAGAAATGCTAGAATACTACTGGTTAAGGATCGGAGTATTAAGTTTAATAGTTTGACAGAAATCGACCGTTGGTAGTTCTTATTTATAGGTCAACTTATACGACAGTGTGTAAGTGGGTCGACTCCTTGTGGAATTCACTCGCTGAATTAAGTTTCGCAAATATGCGGCCACGAAAGTTGGCTTCGTTTGTTGCGAGTTGTTCATTTGGGGCTCAAGAGATAGGAAACGTATCGAACAGCGTACAAGAACAGCTGTCCCTTTGCAGCTTGTAAAGTCGAGAGTATTGTTTAAGATTCCACCTGGCTTTGACGGCTTTTGGGTTCAACTTCGTGCTTTTGTTTGTCTCTTACAGCCTCCACGTGTACTCCTGATTACTGCAAAAACGGTGGAACTTGCTCCATTTTTAGAGGACAAGCCAACTGCACGTAAGTACCGACAATTTCGTAGACTAACCCAGCTACAATCTAGCGCTTTTAATTCTCCTGGAATTCCAGATGATGCTTTCGGCACGTGAATTCCTACCTGCATGGTTTCCTTACTAGTTGACAGAGCGATGTTTGTTTAAGAAGACAGCAATGCGTGTCTAGTAATCTCATCGAAAGCTTATTTTACATTTAGTTATCTTTTCACGGGGATTTTTAGCTTTATTTCGTCATATTTCAAACTGAATCGTAACACATGCTTCGCGCGTTCGAAATCTGAAAGACTAGAATGGACATCCATTTGGTAAATAATAGCCTCTAAAAAACCGCAATTTTATACGCAGTGGAGAGCGTGATTTAATTTCATCCTGTTGCCTCCAATCATAGCCAGTTTTTGTCAACCAAAATCCTCTTTAAATCAAAATCTAAAAGGTTGGATGTTTTCGTGTAGCGTAATTTTGACAGAAGCTGCCTATGCAATCAAAATTACGGTTAATTTAACTATCCGCGCTTTAATGACACATGTTATGTGGGTTACTCTTAACAGTTACGAGTCGCAAACATCATGCATTATTAAGAAAGCTTAGCAGATGTTTTTATTCAACATAAAAGTGTCCTCAATAAACTCGCTTTAAAAGTGAACTTAATAATGATGATTTATTGGAAGTTGGTGTTGAAAAGTTTCCTCCACTTTCTGACGTTTGTTTCGCGTTTGAAGCGAGCGAGTGTAGTTTTCGCGTCGACACGTTTTGAAATGCTTGGTCCTAATTAACAGTGCTTTTATATTGATAAACTTTCAAAACTTCAGCTTAACAACTCTAAGTTAGTTACAAGGTGAAACAAAGGGTTATTTAGAAGCACGCCAACCGATTTCCGAAGCGTCAAGATTTGTGTTGTTGTTCGTTTGAAAACGTTTGCGTTAGTGGAAATGGGCCAGTCAAACAATTCTACCCGTTCTTATCATAGTGGCAGAAATGGTCTCTGTGGGGATTAAGATCCGGAATAAAATTCTATAGATTATTGAGCTCAAAATTGCTGCTCCACAATCTCTATTAGTAGTCACAATAGCATAAAATTTTTCAAAACAATGGTTCCCCGGCCGCCAAAAAGAGACTCGACACATGATCAACTTACCCGTTTATGGTTAAAAAATTCAGTGCGGAAACTTTTGCAAGAAAAATAGTAACTCGAGATTGTCTAATTCTTTCTTGGATTATTGTTTTTCCTCTTTTCATCACTTGCCTGTTTGTCTCGCCTGACATTAATTCTTTATTTACGAAAACGACATTTCTGCGTGAGTTTTATTGGCTTTTTTGAATAATCTTTATTTACTTAAGTTTCTTTCATCCGAAGAATGTTTCTCTTATTTGCCAATTTAGAAAGACAAGTTCCTGGCAATACTTTAGGACTGAAATGCGCCAAGTTACGCATTTGTACGAGTGTGTAAGAGTGTTAAAAAAAACATTTGCGTAATTCGGCTCTCGGTTCTCTCTGTAAATCTTTACGATCTATGGTGTATTACACTAAAACACAGTTCAAACAAAATGCTGTCATATTATCAATCTGCAAAGGTTGTCATTCTTTCGGAACGACGCTTTCAGTTTCATTCTCTTGAAAGGGAGTCGAAAAAAAAGTTTTGAACACTTCCGTTGGTCTTAAAGACGAAAGCGCAAGTGGTGGCCGCGGTGTAAGATTCTTTTTAAAATACGCGTTAGCGTAAATACCGTGCTAAAATTAAACTTATAAAATTTTCATCCAAGTGTCTTCCAGGTCGAAAGTAGCTTTGCCTAGAGTAATAACAAGCATGGGGGCACAGACATAATTGTGCCTTTTAATCAAATTAGACTTGAAAGAAAGAATGGATGCCTAATTTGAAAATTTGCTTCAAATCTGTCAGCTTCTTGAGGAAGGAGACATGTTGTTTTCTTACAGATTTTTGCTAGCAACTTCAAGTTGCTTCTGCCAGGAGATTGGTCATGTGCGCTTATTTGTTTCCCTTGCTTGAAACAAGTAAGAAGGGAATGAAATTTAAGACTACCCGGAGCTTGAATGAGGTTTCGCATTGTCATAGCCATTGTTCGGTCAGCATGAAACATGTGGATTTCATAAGAAGCAGCTGTACTTATCGGACTGGCATAGAGAATGTTTTTCATTGGAGGAAATTAATTTGAAAATCGACAAAATCAATCGCAGCTTTTTCTCCACTTTCCTGGTGAAGTTAACGTTACAGAGGTCTGCATGTAGGTTTTTCAGGCAGAATTATGACTGTTTTTTAATGATATTGGGCCACACTTGGGAACAGAAAAGCATATTATTTCATGTTTTATTCATAATAATGTGACCTCAAATAGCTTTGTAGTGATGTGAGTACTGGGTGGACATGTTTGGGATTAGTAAATTAAAAGTGATAGTGTTAAATAGCGATTAACTGATTGTCTAGAAACCCAAATTTTAGTTCTAAAGTTTGTGTATACTAAAATCTTCTAAGAATTGACCTTGACGTATACTTGTGTGCTGTTATATTAAGAAACATAATTATTTTATTCATACATAAGGTAATTGTGAATGTTTTTTGTTATCCCACTAGCACATATAAGACCACTCATGTATATTTCCTCCTCTTGGCAATTCTCTTTCCAAAGTTGCCTTTTCATGAAATAAATTTAATGAAAAAATTAATCACTTTTGTTGCCATGTTCCTCTTTTTAGGGTGTTTTTTTTTTTCAATAATATGCAAAAGAGAGTTTCGCATTCTTTTGAAGGGTGTTGCACCTCAGTGCTCAGGAATGTCATACATTGTATTTTATTTATTTTATATGTTTATTTAAGCTTCTCGTGTTTTACTTTCAACAGGTACTGACTCACAGAAAAGTTTTCTTTGCTTTTCTTTTTTGGTTTTCATTTTTTTCACCACAGTGCTCAGGAATTTTCATATTTTATTTTTTTATAGTTTATTTAAAGCTTCTCCTGCTTTACTTTTGACAGGACAGGTACTCAAACCTCCCGTTTGATTTGCAGAAAATTTTCCTTTTTTTCTTTTTTGGGTTTGCCCAAGAAGTGAAATATTTTGTTTGAACTTGATTTTCTACAACCATTTCATTTTCAAATTTATCAATGTGAATTAAATCTTTTTTTTGCAAGCTTCAGTTAGCAGCTATTTAACTATTCATCAATGTTTTTATGTACTTGTGAGTGATTACCGTATTATTAATTTTATTTCACAGCGTGGGCAAATTTCATACTGTGAAATGTCGGTGACGAATTTTAGCAGATCATGATTGTTTCTGATTGTTCATTTGCATCTTGTAAATGTTTTTTTTACCTAAGCTGGGGTTTAGCATGTGTTTTAAGCTGAAGAAAAAATTGTTTTAATCAGTACTAATAAATTGCATTCATTTGCAGTTAAGAAATATCTTATTTTTGTAAAGCATAATAAGATTTTCCTTGAACAGTATTGTTTTGAATTTATGGCATAATTGGTTGATGGGCATTTTTGACACAGACAAAAGTTTTTGAAGTGTGCTAGGGAGTCATTTTAACCAATTATAAGTGCTGTTGTTTTTCTGTAATTTAAACCAAAAGAGATGACCAGTGTTCATAATACATGTACATGAGCAAATAGTAAGGTGTACAGTGGAACTACATGTAACCATTATTCTCACTCATCCTAGTCATTTAAAAGAAGAAGTGTTTCAGTTTTTGTCAACAATATATTATTTATTTTTCAAATGTCACTTTAACACACAATACGTTGTTGTATTTAAAAATGTTTACTTCTATATGTGTTTTGAAAGAATCAAGATGAGAAGAAATGTGTTTTGTTTTTGATGGTTGACAGCAGTGTGAGAGGGATACAGGATAAGTAAGAAGATTCGTAGAAACAAGTCTTTTCATTAGGTTGGAATTTCTTGGAATTAGATTTTTTCAGGCAGAAAATGAAGTTTTTTCGATAACTTGAATTGTCATTTACTTCAAATTTAGGGCAGTCTCAAAACAACGACTGAATTTTTAAAATCTGTGAAGCATTGGTTGTAGTTTAGATTCTAAAACATGGTTTTTTTTCTCCTTTCATTTTTTAAAGTGCTTTTGAAGTTACATAAAGGCCGCTATTGTTGAATGTTTCCAAGTTCTCCTCTTAGTTTTTCATGAGACCCGTGCGAGCATGTCACGCAAAGTTTTAGCACAAAAATGGCGGCAAATTACACAACACTTGAAAATTGACAGTTAGTACGCAGCTCTTAAAAATCTCTAATTTCATTGGTTCTCCGTAACACTCAGCTCCATTGTTTTAGGGCTAGAGTCATTGTTATATTTCTATGTCTATTGTTTTTACGGCCAATACTGTGAGGCCTTGTAAAGAGCTGTGTGGCACCCCAAAATCGATGCCTGCTAAAAGATCAGCAGATGCTACCCAATGTTTTCAACCATTGCAACCAAGGACTGAGTTGGTTGAAAAAGTTGATCAACCAAACCAACCAAAAACGGGGTTTCCCCAAAAGAACGCAAAAAAACCCAACCAACCCAACCAACCAAAAATGGTTGGTCCCAATAGAACACGACCACAGTATGCTAAGTCTTAAACAGGTCGTATTATTAAATGTATTGAATTTTTAGCTGTTTATTTTTTCAGTTGTCCTGCAAATTTCACTGGGCCCAGATGTGAAGACGATGTTGATGAGTGTGTAGTGGCCAATCCTTGTCTCAATGGAGCGACATGTTTAAACCTTTTTGGTTCTTATCAGTGCCGCTGTATTAATGGGTGGGAGGGAAAAGATTGTGCCATCAATACAGATGATTGTGAATTGTCATCGCCGACAGATCCCCCTAGGTGCCAGAATGGTGGACAGTGTATCGACAGAGTGGGGAAATATGATTGTAATTGTACCCCTGGATATGTAGGTGAGCTCTCAAAAGTAAACCTTTAAGTTTTTGTTCATACTATGCTGATCAATACTTAACAGTATTTAAATAAGGTAAAAGGTGTTGACACACCTAGTTTCTTACTACCGTATTTATTCGACTATAAGCCGAGCGATTTTTGCACCAAATTAAACTGGAAACTAGTGAGATCTCTACAAGATAGGGGGCTTGGCTTGTAGCTGAATATTTTTGCAAAAAAAAATTTTGCTAATGCTGCAAGAGCTTCAATGGAATGTTTATATTCGGCTATAAGCTGAGCAATTATCAACGACACAAATTACCGGTAGTTTGCGTACGAAAATCATTGCTGTTGGTCATAAACTTTTATTCAAGTGGTGGCTCCTAAAGGAGCTGTTTTGTTTTGTTGACTTCACGAATGAAGTTTTCATTCATCGTTGTCTTCGCTGTCGGTTTCAAACTCGTCCTCCATCGCCATATCATCGTCTGCTAGTTCTGGCATTTCATCAGCGTAGACCTCATCATCTTCAGTGCCGTCAAGAGCGTTCAAGATACTGCACGTTTTGAACGATTTCCTCACCATCTCTGCTGGAATTTCTGCCCACGACTGCTTTACCCATTTGAGGACCAGGTTTCTCGACGGCGCTTTCTTCTTTTCCGCTGGAGTGAATTCAAAGGGGCCAGTCATCATCCAGGAAAGGTACTGTCACCTAATGTTGTCCTTGAATGGTTTGTTGAGGCATTTGTCCAACAGCTGCAGGACTGGAGTCAGGCCACCCAGCAGGATTACTGCCACGTTGAACTTACGCCGCTGCAGGTCTGCTTTCACGGACTCTAAAAGAATCCCAAACAAGCAGCGACCGTTCATTGTCAGGATTCCTCGGCAAACAGGTTGGTATCCATTCTTTTACACCTGAAATCAATAACAGAGTACCCAGGTTAAAAATACATCGACAATTCCGAAAATCAGTTATCTGAGTATAACAGACTTTGAAGTAAAGAAAGAAACACAACAATAATTTACCTTTCTCATCCATCCAGCCCTTCTTGTGGAATGATACACGGACAGAGTCTGGAACAGCGAGGTCTCGTGGAGTGCGTACACCTTTGAAGATCACTGCAGGCGGTAATTTGCTGCCATCGGCGGCGACTGCAAGTGTCACCGTAAAGCTCCTCTTCTCGGCACCACAGGACTTCATTGGAACGGTTCTGCTGCCACTGAATTCAAGGGTTCTGCTTGATGGAAGCTCAAATCGCATAGGGGTTTCATCCATATTGAAGATTCTTGATAGCGAATAGCCATGGCGCTGCCGAGCTGCAATCACGAACCGATGGAACTGGATCGTCTTCTCTTCCAAATCTTGAGGAAGTCGCTGGGCCAGGGTTGTCTTCATTCGAAAGCTGATGGCATGGCGCTTTTTCCAATTCTGGTACCAACCCAGGGAAGCTTTAAACTCTGGATCGCTGCACAACTCCTTTGCCTTCCACCGAAGAATTAATCCGCTAACTGCAATTCCTGTAAAAGACAAAACGAGTAGCAATATTTTTAGATCATTGTTTTGACAACATTAGAAACTGACCAATCACAAGCGGTCGTTCTCACGGCTTTAGTAAACATGGCAACTCGATCGATATGACAGGAATCAGCTGGTTTTGGTTTAAAACGAAGAACTTACTCTGACTTCTTTGCTCTGAAAACCACTCCAGAAGTGTTTGACCCAATTCAGGATACTTCGGCGTATAACAGCCCATTGTCTTTCGATTTGCTGACATTTTCAGCTCGCCATTGAAGAGGTTTGCTTGATCTTTTCACCAGCGATGAATCATGGACTCACTCATGCCGTATTTTCTGGCAATCTCGGAGTTGTTCTCAATAACCTCTGCTTCAGCCACAATTTTTAATTTGAAGGCCAAGTTGTACGATGAACGACGAGCTCTTCGCATGATGATCGATTACGGATAACTTTGAAAGAGCATGTGATTGTTTGAGACAGGATTCTGAACTCAGGTGATGGTTTGTCATGCACACGGTTTTATTTATACACTTCTGACACGTCAACTCGGATCACATTAAATTCATCTTACCTTTGATTTGTTGTTATTTTCAGTTAAGTGACCAATAACATTAAATGTGTTATAATGAATATATCAATAAGTGAATATTCATTTTACCATTACGTGTTTCCCGAGAGGGACGCTTCTTTTGTTTTATGGTTTGCCGGTATGTTTATTCACTTAACAGTGCATGTGGAAAAGAAATATTCGATCTCAGCTTATAGTTGTTTCCTTTTCATAATTTCCTAACAGGTTCTAATACCCAAAAGTTTAGGGGTCTCGGCTTATAGGCGAATAAATACGGTATATAAGAGGTATTACCTTTTCCCTGAGACAGGAGGGTGGTTTAATGCGGAGTTAACCTCTGCAGTATTGGCTACTGTGCCAATCTCCAAACATGTAGCCATTTTCACATATGGGTTTTCTAGACGTGTACATGTAAGTGATTACATTAAATACCAACTGAACCAATCACAACTCAAAAATGTCAGAACTAATCAACACCAATCCCAGAGATGCCAACCTCCCGAAATCTAAAATCTGGAGATGGTCTATTTTGCACTAACCCTCCCCCCCCCAAATGTCCATCTCTCTCTCTCTCTCTCCTCTCCCAGAAAATGACCCAGCCACCAAAAGATGACATGGGAATAGCTTAGGACATTATATGAAGTCTCACATGCAGTACAGCTGTACATACTATCAAAATTTGCTTTCATCATTTTAATGATGAAAAAATCTTTGTCAGTGACTACTAATGAAATGCAAGAATGTCCCAGAATCAGTACAATGAGTAAAAAAGATCAAATTTTAGAAAAAAATGGTCTAAATGCTAAACTAAAGTGCAGAAAAGTTTAAAAGTCTACTTATTGTACTTAACCTGGAAGATTTGGTGACCACTATGGGAGAGCAGGAGATCAGTGCTGTCTTTTGGAGAGTTGGGATATATGCAATCCTGAATTGAGTTTGTGGTTGCTTTGTCATCAAGGCTGTGCTCTAAAAAAAGACGGTTCATGAAATAATTTTCTCTTTTGCTGTATTTCAGGTCCAATTTGTCAGCACATTGATCAGTGTTATGGTAATCCATGTCAAAATAATGGAAAATGTTCTACAAATGCTTTTGGAAATTTTAGTTGTCACTGTAGCTCTGGGTGGACTGGAAAAACTTGCAATACAGACATAGATGAGTGCTCTCTAAGCAGCCGCTCACCATGTGATCATGGCGGTACATGTGTTAACACTCCTGGATCATTTAGCTGCAGTTGTATCCCTGGTTACACAGGTACATAAGTGCTATGCCATATGACCTTTCTCATCCAACTGCACTAAATAATGTACAGTTGAACTCTCCTGTAAGTGGCCAACCAAAATGTGAAAACTTAATGGTTGCATGGGAGGTGGTCGTTTACAAGAATTGAACCACAGGGGGTCTCTTCCGAGAAGAGGTCCCGATACAGCTACTTAATGGTAGATAATTTATTGCATGTTATTTGTAAGTTATGATATGTGTAACTCCATGTTGTGAGAGTACAAGGGTGTAGTATTAAACGGTTAATGACTGGTCCCAAGGGAAAGAGTTATTTTAGTTTTCAAAGAAACTAAATGTTTTCCAAGTTAGACATTGAGTTGTTAGCAGAACAGAATTAACAAGTTCCTTAGTTACTTGCCCAGAAAGAAAACCTACTTTTCCCACATGACCAGACAAGGCTTTTTTGAGCCCTTTTGCTGTCATTAAACTTCAAAATGTACTCTACCAGGAACACATTAGTACCTAACAGGTAACTACATGTATATGTACTAGTTTACTTATATTAAGAGGTCGTCAACTCTTTCTACACTGCATGTGTTTTTTGTTTTAACAGGTGAGCGCTGTGAGGTTCAAATCAATGAATGTGCTTCTAGTCCTTGCCAAAATGATGCCGTGTGCCTTGATCTCCTCAATCAGTTTCTATGTATCTGCAATCCTGGTTGGACAGGCACATTTTGTCACCAAGATATAAATGAATGTGCTAGCACTCCTTGCCAAAATGGTGGACAGTGTCATGATGACCTGAATGGATACAATTGCAAATGCCTGCCTGGCTTTATTGGTAAAAACTGTGAGACAGACTTTGATGACTGTCAGTCAAACCCGTGTCATAATGGTGCTACATGTGTTGATGGCCAAGCTGGATATACATGCAATTGTAGTAGAGGCTACGCTGGAAATAATTGTGAGGTTGATATTGATGAGTGTGGATCGTCTCCTTGTCGGCACTATGGGACATGTATGGATGGAATTGATGATTATAACTGCACATGTCTTCAAGGATTTACTGGAAAGAATTGTGAGTTAGATTTAGATGAATGCGGCAGCAATCCTTGCTTGAATGGTGGAACATGTCAAGACCGTACTAATGGATTCAAATGTATTTGTCCTGTTGGTACAAGTGGTAAGGATGACTTCAGACCTTAAGTCTTCAATTTTTATAAAAGGTGTCCTGAACCCAAAAATATTGTGGTGCACTTTTGCATGTTTATTATAATTCATTCTTAGTTAAAAATTGCAAAATAGTTTTCTTCTGGTGATCTGGGATTTTTTTATGCGTGATTGTACATGTAAACGCAATTTCATTGACCCCGAAATTTTAAGACAAAATGTAAGACTCACCAAGAAGTTGAAAACAGATCTGAGACTCTGCAGCAAACCATTCAACACTCGGGATGAAAAGAAACAAAAAATAATTGTGACCAGGATATTTATCAAAAATGACCTTGATTGGATCTGATCCAAATTTCTACCTACATTTATCATTGATTGCCCCTATAAGTACATTCAGAGGAAGTGGTCAATTTTTGGTCTTTGCCATGCTTACCTGTAATTCACATTTGCATTGCTTTTGTAGGTCCAACATGTACAGATAGTGTCAATGACTGTTCAGGAGTGGTTTGCAAGAATGGTGGCACATGCATTGATGGTCTAAACACTTACTACTGCAGCTGCCATCCGGGTTTTCATGGACCGCACTGTGATTATAACCATGATGAATGTGGCTCATCACCTTGCCAGAATGGAGGCACTTGCACTGATGGCGTTGCTCAGTATCACTGTCAGTGCCGATCTGGATATACAGGTTTGTTTCAGCCCTTACATACTTGAATAATCATTTGATTTCCTGGCAACAGTTTGCAGTTGGTAAAGGCATTTTTGAACAATGCACTTCAACAGGAAGTAGACTCTCTGCATTCTTAGGCTGTGGTTTTGCCCAAATTTACCACCAGATTGTCTCTGTAATAGTAAAGACACTTACAATTTGTGGCAATGCCAATTTGGAAGCTTCAAGGCATATGTTAAGGGGAAAGGCCCCAGACGTCTGGTTGCTAAGCATCAGTCGCTCAAAAATGCCTATGCTGAAGCTCCCTATTGCCTAATAAGGAAAGCCTATTTTACATTATATGAGGCTTTGTACCATACCTACTTATTTGCATCCACAGTTTCCAAAGTTGTTGAATACAACAAGCAAAATCCCTAGAAAGATACTACCTTATTTTTTTATTACATGTACATGTGAAGTCTTCTTCAGAAATTTCAAATTGTAAAGTAATTATTTCTTGGCTCATAATTGAAAAATGTAGCCTTTTTTAAAACAACACTGACAAAAATTTAGTCGAGTAAGCTCGTAATTAAAATAACGACTGCAAATAAATCCACTTCAATGGAAAATAAATTTTGGATATTGAATGTTATCCTATTTCATTTTAGGTACAAGTTGTGAAACTAGGATTGACAATTGCTTGGGAAATCAGTGCAAGAATGGTGCGACTTGTGTCTCAAAACAGGCTGGCTACTCTTGTAGTTGTAATGCAGGGTTTAGTGGACAGTTGTGTGAGATTGACATCGATGAATGTTCTGCTAACCCGTGTAAACATGGACAGTGCACTGATGGCATCAACAAGTACATGTGTAGCTGTTATGCTGGTTACACCGGTGCAAACTGCTCGATTAATATTAATGACTGCGAGACCAGGTGAGTACTTTGTCTTTGTTCAGTCAGAGGGGAGCAAAGTTACAACTCTGGCAAAACGTGTGAGACACACATAAATCACAAAAATGCTGTATTTCCTTGGCAGTATTACATTTGGCGCGATCTGTGGTGTGAGTCATTGAGTCATTCAATTTCATGTTTGTTTCCTGTTGTTGTGGAAAATACAATCAGGCATTCGCCGCTGTGTGTGGAGTGAATATTGTTCAGTGTCTTTCAATCATTTAATGTCTTTTATATTTATGTTTCACTGTTTTCACACATTCTGCAACAGTTGACTATACAGTCTCAGTCAAAACTGGGGTACACTTGACTGTCTTCTTGTGCTCCCAATGTTGGTGTTCAAGATTTGTATAGGTAATAGCATGATTTGTAGTGATATTTGGCATAAATACCACGCGTGATATTGCAAAATTGTTATACGTAATTTCACGAGCCGTTCAAAGGCGAGTGAAATTTGAGACAATTTTGAAATATAGCAAGTAGTATTTATGCCTAATATCACGTACAAATCATGCTATTATTTGTTTATACTACTACCCGCAAAAGGTTTGTAATTTTCACATGTAAGTATTTCAAATTAAGCTGAAATACCAGTGCGCTAAGCCAATCAAATAGCAGAAATTTCTCATGTAGTAGTATAAGGTGAGTTAACTGCTATAAACAACATGGGGAGGACACGGAGACATGCCAGAAGTAAGAAAAAAAGTTTTTCGGTGGAAGTGTCCTAACTTTTTTTGTCTGAGATATAGCAACATGACATGTGTGCATGTAGTAAAAAGTTTCTCTTTTGTCTCTTTACACAGCCCTTGTTTACATGGATCGACGTGTGTGGACGAAGTGAATGACTTCTTTTGCAAATGTTCACCTGGATTTTCTGGACGGAGATGCGAGAACCATATTGATGAGTGCATACCATCACCCTGCAAAAATGGAGCCACGTGTGTTGATCAGATTGCATCTTACAGCTGCTACTGTCCCCCTGGTTACACTGGTGTAAACTGTGAAAGTATTATTAATTGGTGCGATAATACTCCGTGTGTAAACGGGGGTACGTGCAGGCAAACTGGGATCGATTTTCGCTGTGAATGTCTCCCAGGATTCAAAGGTGTCATCTGTGATGTTGAGGAGATAACTTGTGCGCAAGCGGTGACAAAGTCTGGTGGGAGCGATGTTTGCAAAAATGGCGGCACTTGCGTAGATCTAAGCAACGTACAGTCATGCAATTGTCCACCTGGGTTTACCGGGAGCTATTGTGAAGTCAATATTAATGATTGCGCCAGTGGTCCTTGTAAACATGGCGCTAATTGCATCGATGGAGTTGCAAACTACACATGCAATTGTATAGGAGGTTTCACCGGAAGAAATTGCGATATAAATGTAGATGACTGCGCAGGGGACCCATGCAGAAATGGAGGCACATGCACTGATTTAGTGGATGGTTTCATCTGCACATGTCCCGTGGGATACGTTGGTAACAGATGTGAAAAGAACCCTAATGACTGCTTCTCTACAGCATGTTTTAACGGCGGATTTTGCCGTGACGGGCTTCGGAGTTTCTCTTGTGACTGCCCAGCTGGATATTCTGGCTTACGTTGTGAAAACGATATCGACGAATGTGCTCCCAACCCATGTTCTCCTCTAGGTTCTGAGAGGTGCTTTAACCTGGTGAATGACTACCAGTGCAAGTGCAGAAATGGATTTTTGGGCAAGAACTGCAGCACCAACATCAATGAGTGTTTGTCTAGCCCCTGTCAGAATGGGGGCGAGTGCAAGGATGGTGCCGGTAGACACATTTGCCTTTGTCCACATGGATTTTCAGGGTTAAACTGTGAGCGTCCTGTCTCTAGCTGCGCACATGATCCTTGCCTTAACAGCGGTACATGTGTAACTCGAGGAGATGGCAATTATTCGTGCTCTTGCATGCCCGGTGTTGTCGGAAACCAGTGCAACTGGAACAAAGACGATTGCCTTTCTGTACCGTGCCAAAATGGTGCAACGTGTATTGATGGATTTAATTCGTATACTTGCAAGTGTCCTGTGGGGTTCACTGGCCCAAACTGCGAGCACGATATAAATGAGTGCCAGAGCAATCCTTGTTTACACGGAGGAACATGTCAAGACCAGAAGGGCTTCTACACATGCAAATGTACAGGTCAGGCTTTCTTTGTGTTATTACTAACTACTGTATATGTATGTCTGCCATTATTCCCGAAGAAAACGAAAAAACGTTTAGCACGTAAGAGATCATCGCAGTTATGTAGGCAATGTAAGCAGTTGTGAAAAGAAAGCCTGAAGAAAAGGAAAAGAAAAGACTAACAATCCCTTGCTATCGTGTTCAAATTTGCGCATCCGTGGCTTCGTTTCTATTTGCTGCATCATCTAAACCGTCCTTTAATGTTCTTAGCAAAACAATGTTCAGGGGCGGATCTAGGGGGAGGGTGCAGGGGGTGCCCACCCCCCCCCCTCCCCTGAGATGACCTGCGGTTTTCTAATACAACTGGTATTCTGCAAAAAAAACTATGTGGTTTATTGGTGTTGAAGTAGAGCAAGAGATGAGTGCACCCCCTCCTAAAAAAAACCCTAGATCCGCCCCCAAATTGTTGTAACGCTGTGTTGCATGAAAATGGTCGTTGCGAATCGTCCCGTGTAGCATTACCTTTAGTATGTACAAGGTATTTCTCTCAGTGTTCAAGGTTTCTGTTTTGTGGCTTTAACCGTACTGTTTCCCTTTTACACTGTAGATGCATACACAGGCAACTATTGCGAAGAAAAAGTCGGCTGCCCTCATGATGACTGTGCACAAAAATTTCGTGATAACGAAGTTTGCAAGGTAACTAATTATCATTATTTCAGTAGTTAAAGACACTAAAGTTATTCTGCATAATTTATCCCTTACAAAAGAAAACTTATGTCCATCATGCATAGCGATACTCTTCTCTATACAAATATTTCTACGCTGCCACCATGCGATAATAATTATTACTTACATTTATATAAAGCTTTATCCATATCTGAAGTCAAATTAAGCCCACTGTTTTTCATGTGATCGGTACAATTGCTCGACCTTTTTCAGGTAGAACTGAAGTCCATCTTCAATTTTTTCCCTCTTCGATCGCAGGAATCATGTTGAAAATAGTTTAATTTTTGTGTAAATAAAAATTATCTAATATTATTCACTGTGAGAAATTTTTTCTTGACTCGAGACGAATTCGAATCATTTTTGTACCAGACTCGTTTTGCCGTTTACACAACGGAGATGCTCGATTCCAAAACAAGAACTTTCCGCTTTGGTCGCTTGTTTGGCGATTTTTAATCCATTGTGTAATGTGAATGTTATTCCAAGATTTACTGATGTTTGTAAACGCGAATCTGAATACTCTGCTTTTGATAATTCCGAAAACATGCATGAACCCAGAAACATTTCTTCTTGTGTCAACCTTGCCTAAGTGTGTTTGCTGCTCACATTAATTTGATTTTATCCACAATAGAAAAAGTGCAATAACCACGCGTGCAACTATGACGGTACTGTGTGTTCTCTGGGGACTGAGCCGTGGGCGAACTGCAGTACAATGACGACGAGTGGACCCTGCTACAAGGTTTTCAAGGATGGCAAATGTAATCCTGAGTGTAATACCGAACAATGCCTCTTTGATGGCTTTGACTGCAAATCACCTAAAGGCGAATGCGAGTAAGATGAATTTGTGAAATGCACATGATTAACTGTTTACTAGTCTCCTTGGCAACCGCTCGGGTTGGCGTCACGCAATACTCCTCACTCTGTGCTGCGCGGTTTTATAGTAAGGAGCTTTTGCAACGGCGACGGCAACGAGAGCGTCAAAAAAGCAATAGGTGTTAGGGTGTATTTAAGTAGACCAACAACTTTGCGCGTGCATCACTTCTTTTTTCGTGACAACGTGAAAATGCCTTATTGCACGTTTTAAGGAGGACGCACTGTAAAGCAACGACGAACCATTATGTTTTAGTTCTGGTCTCAGTTGTTGAAAAGGTGGATAGCGCTATTCACTGGATAAATCTCTATTTAGTGGATAACGCAATTTTTACCCGTAATACATATTCGCTGGATAGTGAGTTGTCCGTTGGATAGGGCTATCCAATGTTTAAACGACCGGGGCCTGGTGTATTATAAATACTCTTTAACTGGTTTTACACTAGGACTAAGACGCAACTGATGACCCGAATTTTTTTCCAGGACTGATGAGTATTGCAAACCTCGCTTTGAAAACGCGGAATGCGATACTATATGCAACACTGAGGAATGTTTGAGGGATGGTTTGGACTGCGAAACATCAAAGCCAAAGCCGGTGAGTAAAATCCCGTAGGAACCACGCTTTCAAACCGATCAATAGCGTAATGGACTGGGTATATTAATACGACTATCCTACTGCGAAACGAGTTGAATAACGATGTTGCGCGTTTTACCAACCACATCAAATCCATCTTGCAACAAATAAGGTTGTTATCAGGTTTGAACGCGGTTAGTAAAACGCACAACATCGCTTTTCAACTCGTTGTGCAGCAATGTTGCAAAACAAGTTGCGCGTTTTTGTTGGCCGTAAAACCGAAGCTTAAGCGGTATTTGCCCCTTACTCTGCGAGGTGATGTCCCCGAACTGGTCCAAGAGATTCAGTCTTGTTCCCAGGGTCTCTCTTCTTCAGCGGACGGGAAGTGGAGAGACATTGGGAACGATTTCGGGGAAGGTTGAGATAAAAAGCCCATTTCCGAGTTCCAGAAAATCTCACTTTCAAAACGAGGCTAAGTGAAAAACCTTTGCTGTGAAAATGAGTTTTATTTGCATCATAATTAAAAATCATTTTCATATCAATTCCTTCGCACTTAGCCTCGCTTTGAAAGTGAGATTTTTTTGGAACTCGGAAACGGCCTATTGATCTAGTTACCACAAACCTTTTGGAAAAAGGGCTTTCAGTTTCTTGAAGAGTTATTGACCGTAAAAGCAGGTAGCGGCGAAACGCTTTTGTTGGTCTTTTCACTTCATATCTATGGGAAAATGCGGAGATCGTCCTTCCGAAAAAGAAAAAGTTGTTTGGAAAAACTAAAAACCCGAAGAGAAACTTCCGTAAACGTCGACCTTTTTTTTCTTGAGTTTTCGATTATCCCATGGGTTCGAAAAAGATTATAAATAGCATGGGGTGCAATATTAGCTTAGGCCCTGATAATTCATCCACCTTATGTGTTATGTACGTCAGCATCACCGGTAACGGCTCTAACTTTTCCTTTTTCTTTGTTAGGGCAAAGGAACGCTAATTCTTGTACTGCTAGTGTCGCCAGAGACGTTCATGAATGGCTCAAGAATTTTCACGAGAGCGCTCTCTGCAGTTTTGGAAACCATCTTGTTTATTAAGGAGAGTAGCGATGGCGAGCAAATGATCTTTCCGTATATTTTCTCCGGAGGGCCTCCAGTGCCTATTTCGCGAAGGTCAGTGGCAAACTTACAGAGAGGGACGAGTCATATCATTGTTCGGCGAGCATTGTCCGGCAAAGGGTTAGTATGGATTTCTTCACATTATAAACTCCACTTTTAAACACCATCCTGCTCTAATAGGCCCTCTTTATAAATAAAGTGCCCGAGCAAGTTTTGCTTTTATGGCTCTTAATGAACCGACAGACATTTTCACCTCGCGAGCACTTTTCAAGGTGCTGTGTGTACTTCTTACAAAATCACCCTCTTCTTTTTGCCAGAGGAGGGGACTTAATCAACTCATTGCTTTTCTTTTGAAACTTACCTGGATCAACTGTGAAACAAGTCCTTGATGATATGTGTAGAAAATTTGTTGTAGCGATTCCATTCGCCACTTTAGTAACAATAAGGGAACTGGGGCCCGTTTCTCGAAAGTCCCGATAATTAGCGGGCCCGTAAAGATGTTGTTGTTTACATGCAAGGTAGGGGTTTCAATAGTTTTGCATCTAACATGATAAAAGTATCAGTTAATGGACCAGAATGGAGTAGTTTGCCAGCCAGAACCGGCGCTCTTAGTCTTTATATTTCGATTTGAAAATTTGATTTCGGGCCCGAAACCTTGCCGGGGCTTTCGAGAAACGGGCCCCCGGAGCCGAAATGCGGCCCGCAAGTGTTTCTGGGATCACCACTGTAGACACGCCGATCAGCTATTGGCCAATTCCTTGGTAACAGTCCCAGAACAGTTTCCTGCTCGTTTCTAAAGTGGCAAATTAGAAGCCGACAACTGGAATATTGCATCGCTCCACTGGAAGACGACTGGTGTGGGTTCTCTCTGTAGCATGACAAACCGTTTTTCTCGTGCAGCTGTTTATTTTCATTGTCTCTTCGCCCACTTGAGAGTTTAAAGTTTTAATTGCTTGTACTAACTTCAACCGTTTCTCGTTTCCTTTCAGAACGGAGGTTCACTATTTAATCGACACGAGGGGATGCGATGGCAGTGCGTGTATTACTGACGCAGCTTATGTAAGTTGGACAACGCTTTTGTCTTGTTCGTTAAATTTGCAGCCTTTTTAACCGTTCCAGGATTAAATCAGTCGGTAGAGCGCTTGACTGTAGAGTGGCAGGTCGCGGGTTCGATTCTCTGGGCCGGACCAATACTCGGGGTCTTAGTGAATAACCGAGAAATGAAGGTACTGCCATTGCCTGGCAAACGACTAGACCTTTGCGTGGCTCGTGTCCAGTCCAGTCTCCAGTAGGAGTAAAATGCTTTTTCTACGTCCATTGACTCGGAAAGCCGAAATCGATATTGCCAGCTCTGTCCCCTATATGGCATTGAGGAGAATTTTCTTTCTCTATTTTCTCTATTTCCACGAGCTATATTTTTGACTATTTGAAAAGCCTTTTTTTTATGATGACAAATTACATATGGGTCTCTTTTAAAGGTTAAATTTTGTGCCTTTATTTGTAGGGTGCAAAATATCTCGGTGCACTGCAGTCTTCTAATAAACTGGATTTACCCTACAATTTACATCAAGTACGAGGTAAGTATTCCAAATTATAGCAAAATAAACACAGAGACTGGCATTTTGTTAGAACACTTAGCCTTCCTGTTAGAAAATCGGTCGCATTCGAGTTTTTAACTATTAATTTTCCTGGGCTCACGCAAGTATAATACAAAGGCGACACAATTTCGCTGTCACTCTGGTTATTTTTTCTGCCTTGCGAGAAACGCATCCTTCTCTAGAAGTGAAAACCGTATTGGAGTTTGCAAGGAACGTTGTGATCGTACTATGGCAAAGTGCCAAGTGACTGTTTGATGTGATACTAGGGAAGAACGAAGACTCGACTTTCAAGTTCACAACTGTCGACTTTCGTTTGACTAACATTGTAATAATTGCTATCTTCTTTGTGTCTTAAGTTGAGGAACCCACGGTGAACCCACCAACCCCGTCCCCTTCCACTGGTTTGTCGCCATTGTATATTGCTATTCTCTGTGTGGGCATTCCTCTGTTTGTTGTTGGAGTATTAGCCGGCGCCAAAAGGGTATATGCCAAACTGTGGGTTCCAGAAGGATTCGTCGGACGCGGACCTCGGAGGCAGACCTCTACAAGACGTGAACCAGTCGGGCAAGAAGTCTCATTGAAGTAAGTGGTTTTATTTCCGTCGAAGGAAATAAGGGAAATAAATATTATTGTTGTCGTTGTTAAGTGAACTGTGATGAATTTTCATCTCCTATGTAGTGAATACATTTGCATGTCACGGTATACTTTGTAAATTCGCCCTCTTAACTGATTTGTTTTTCAGTCAAATGAGGAAGAGCTCGTCTGAAATTGAAGAAGGTGCTTCTGCTAGCGGCGAAAGCAGCCGTTCAGACCTGACGCCTCCCAGGGAAGCCAAGCGAGTCAAACTGGACGATAAACACAACGGAGAAGATTCGCGTAAGTGGACCTCCCTGCACCATCAGGCAGCAGACGTGACCGTTAGAAACTGCTCCCTGGCTCTAACCCCTCCTCAGCAAGGAAACGGAGAGAGGGGAGCTACGGCCATTGATGTTGATGCCAGAGGCCCCGGTGGAATGACCGCGCTGCATTTGGCCGCATGCCGTGGAATGTATGGTGACGGAAGTAGCCTGGATGATGATAAAGACAGTGACGATAGCGGAGGCGCTATGGTTTCGGACTTGCTTTCTCTTGGAGCGAGCTACAATTCAAAGACTGATCTGGAAGAGACGCCATTGCATCTTGCTGCAAGGCACTCTAGAGCTGATGTAGCTAAGCGTCTACTTGACTCGGGTGCTGATGCTAATGCGAGGGACCGTCTCAACCGTACGCCTCTGCATCTTGCCATTGGCGCTGATGCTCAGGGTGTATTCCAGGTAAATAACAGTGATATTTTACAGTTTTGCGAATCTGGGGCAGTAAAAAGTTGTCCGATTTCTGAGATCCCTTTGTTGTCTCATCAATAATCCTTGAACAAGGAGAATATTCCATGCAGTGCATTTATCGTAAAAAAGTGAACCCTGTATCCCCCAGCAGCGCAGTACTTCGCGTCAGAATTCATGAAAATGCAAAACACCGGCAATCAACTCAGCAGTACATTTGCAAGCTGCTTAGGCTGCCTGGTGGGCGCGGAAAGGGAAGCGGGAGGGGGGAGGCCGGGAGAGGAACAAAACTAACTCTAACTTTTCCCTTGCGCGCTTCCCCCCCTTCCCTTCCTTGTTTTGGCTCTTGCTACGCAGGCTACAAGGTGTTCATTTGTCTGGCTACATGATGGGTGTTCATCAACAAACTGACAAACAGAATCTCGAGACTTTTGTGTGGGGGGATGATCCCTTTTCGTGACACGCACAACCTAATCGTTGAGGCGTGCACACACCCTATGCGCCTGAGTAACATGTCCAGTACAACCTTTAAGACCTTTGGCGCCCTGCGATGCCAACCGAATACATGCAATTTAAATTCACATCGGAGCTAAATCAGTTTTTCAATCCTCAACATTCAGAGATTGCTCATGAACCGTGCGACTGACTTAGAGGCCAGAATGGACGACGGAACAACACCATTGATACTTGCAGCGCGGCACGATCTACCGGACTTAGTGCGTCATCTTATCAAGGCGGGAGTCAAAGTAAACAGTGCCGATAATCAAGGTAAGCTTGGATGAATATATTTCTCTCTTTGTCGACCCAACTTTAAACTGTTTCTTTGACGTTTGTGGTAATATACCCTTTCATAGATTTTTTTTTAACTTTTGAGTATGTCCTATGACATTGTTAGCGGAGATCAGTTAACACTGCTGGAAAGAGCGCCATAAAATCAGTTAAGTTGCTAAGGTTAAGAATGATTTATGGCAAACTAACGGATGTATAACTATCCGCAAAGTCGCAAAATTTTACACTAACAGACGATCGTGTGCTGGGTGCAAGTTCGTGTCTCCCACCGTACAAAAATCTGAAAAATTATGCGTCTTTGTGGAGCAATATATCTTCGCTCTCCTTGGACGTATCACCCCTAAACCTGGAAATGTAACTGATTTTAGGGCGTTATTTCCGGTAGTTTCGATGGATAATCACTTGTTAGCCTCGATCAAAACTTCAAGAAAACCGTGGAAGGGTTCATTCAAATCCATACTCCCTTATTAAGCAAACTCAAATGCTCATTCCGTTGCTGTTTACAGGAAAAACTGCACTACATTGGGCAGCCTCGGTCAATAGCTTGGAGGTGACGAAAGAGCTGCTACGAAATGGTGCCAAGAAAGATGCTCAGGACGAAAAGGTAACTCAGAGATTGAATATGTGCTTTATAGAACAAAATGTCGCTTTCAAGATCTTCGAAAAACAAATTTGAGTGCAACCTGGGGAATGATTTACTCAGAAAAAGCACTTCCATGACGAATTCGCGCGGAAACGCTTGATGCGCAGGCTAAATGTAATGTCAGTATGCAAAGTGTTAACAGCAAAGACTGATTTTAATTTCCGTGTTCCTTATTAGGGTCAAACGCCGTTGTTCCTGGGTTGTAGAGAAGGAAGCATTCAAACAGTGCGTTATCTGCTTGTAAACTATGCAAACCGCAAACTCGCCGACAGCATGGACATGACACCGGAAGATATCGCCAAACTGAGACACCATCATGACATTGTGGAGTTGCTTACGGACTGGTCGCTGGGTTGTAACTCACCTAAAGCTGTTCCCGCTCCTACGTCACCCCCCGAGGGGCAAAAATCACCACTAGCTAACATGGCATCTCCCCCGGCCACCTCTCCGCCGACCGTGGAAATTCACGGTGGCGGCGGGCCCGCGATAATGCAGCATTTCTCGGCGGCGCGTCCCAAAACAAACGCTATGAACAGATCGCACGGACCTTCGAGACCAAGACCTGCCACCGGAAGTAGTAATAATAACAACACGAAACGGAAGCGGAAGAAGACACGGCCTGACGAGGAACAATACCCGGTGATAAGCACGGTACCGTCGCTTTCACCAACTGCAACGTTATCGCCAACAGCTAATAATGTAACAGCTGTATCTTCGTGCGCCACCGGGCAGACGTTTTCACCTAACTGCATGCAAATCGCAAACGGACTTTCTCCCCTCGGGAGTGCGGGTATTTCCCCTGCAGATTCCACGACGTTGTCGCCGTTGCAGCCTCCGGACTCGCTGGAGCAACAACCGCCGTCACCTTTAGAAATTCTCTCCCCGGAAGATCTCGCTGGTTTGGAAGACGTTGGGATCGACTGCTTGGATGAGCTCGATTTTGATACTCTTAGTCCCCCAACAGATATGCCGATTGATTTTCCACCCACGACAACTATTGGACATTTGGGTCTGAATGACCACATTGTACCCACAACGTCTGACTGTATGTACATACCAAATGCGCCTCCTGTCAGGCGGTCGGACCCTCTGGAAGGTCAAAGACTTTATTCTGTGCATAGCACACCGGACTTGCATTGTGGAGGTCTTCAACACCACGATTCTCGGCCCATTGTATTCAATGGAAGAACTTGTCACTCCGCGCAAAAGGCCTCGATTGCGACGCCTTCCCTGCTGGCCTCGTATCAGGCCATAACGAACTCAAATATGTATCCGTCAAGTGGAGGCGGCGTCATGCCGTTAAGAAAAGACTTTCACAATAACGACTATATGATGCAGCAGCCATTGCAATTACAAAACCAACTCGTTCTTGGACACATACCGATTGCCGCCTTTGATAACCGCTACGAATGCGTCTCGCCGCAAAAGATCGTGTCTTTCCCCACCCCGTCCCCGGACTCGCCGGGGCAGTGGTCGTCCTCATCTTCATCCTCATCTTGCTAGTCAATCGTCGTGTGCAGTTTGCATGTTGTCATGGAGACTGGACTCTCGCCTTCTCCATTGAGAGTCTTCAAATGTGAGCTGTGCGTTTATCCTCCATCGATCATCGCTGTGCCATGCGCTGTCCTGTTATTATTACGCAACAGGACGGGAGAGGGAAGAAGACGGCGAATTTTAATTTGTTTGATGAGCCTTTAAACAGATCTTTTTGTAAAAGACCAGAAAACATTGATGTTAAGTGAAGATCACGACAAAACACGTAAGAAATAGCCTTGTCACGTTTGTCACACACGAGCGTTCTGCCGTCCTCTTCTTCCTGCCGTCCTGTTGCATAAACTCACTATTTTATTTGGATGAGCCTTAACTTCGTAAAAGCGTTTTTATTTATTTTGCCGTTACGAATTTTGTTGCTGGCGACAGATTAAGTAGGTGGTATAGTCAGGATCCAATAACCCTGAACGAGCTACGGCGTTCTCACAGATCACTTTTAATTGTTAGGTCGATTTTCCTACTTTTGGCTGTCAAAAAAGTGTTACATTTAGGGTACAAAAGCTGGAGACTAGAAAATGGTATACGTGATGTTTTTATATCTACGGTTACTTTTTTTCACTATCATACTGTGGATGCGCACACATATGCGACGGAGCTTCTATTTTGCGGGAGAAAGTACTTCAAAATGATGCTTAAAATAAATTAGTCTGTAAAAACGCTGTTGCGTAAGCTGAGTTGCTCGCTCCGGGTTAAATAGCCTCCTGGTACAGTCCGAACAAATGAAATCACTGAATGGGACAATATTCAATGTTCCTCTGTGACGGGACATGTGAATTATCCATACCGTTCTGAAAATACCGACTACACAATTTGTTTTATCCGTGCGTCATAGTGCTGTTTATATGGCTATAAAAATATTTAAAAAATACACTAGCGTCCTACGCGAATCACAATATGCATGCATTATAACGATTCCGTAGCCAATCAGAAGCCAGGGAAAACGTCCAGGAAACCTTGTTTAAGACACAGAGTTGGTTTCCTGGAGTTTATCCTCGCGTTTGATTGGATAAGTATTACCTACTAAGCACATTTCCGGTACTCGTTTTGTACTTTTATACTGTATGTTTATAGTATAGTAAATTGTTAAACTGTGCTGATCAACCATTACTTACCCCGTGTTACTTAAAATTGTGTTACGGTCACAGGTATTGTGTTTTGCTTACATACCTACCTCTTATGCGTATTGTATACTTACGTTGGTATTAGAGGGTTTTTATTTATTCAAAAGAAACACAAATGCTCACTCTATTTGCAGGGTTAGTTATACGCGGTAAATTCCGCAGGGGAGGGTAGAGGGGAAGCGGGGCGTCCTATTCATAGTCTACTTACGGTAAACGCCTTGAGTTTTGCAGTAAAAAGCGAACTTTTACGTTTTAGACAAGGTATTCTTTCATTTAAGAAGTAATTCGAAGTGGCGATAATGCTGCGTTAGTCTTTTTAAAGTCCATCAACAAGAGGTTGAGTCGAATCCTGTTTTTTCTAGAATTGTAATTGATTTTTAGACAGATAATTCAACAAGTTCAAGTTGAACAGACAGAGCTATAGAAAAGTTTAATATATTTTTAAGATGTAATTAGCAATACTTGCAACACTGTAAATACATTTTTGTATAATATTGAAAACATGTATAACATTTCCTTTCCTTGGCATTCACATTATAAATAACACCGGTATCATAGATTGGCAAACTACCCCTAAGGGGTTTTCATATCGGTTTGTGCGGTTGCTATAGACTATGAAACTCCAATGTAATCGTATTATTTTTATAACTCTTCTCTGGACTTCATTAGGTAACTGTGCAGTTATAACGATAACAAAGTATTTTGGGATGGAAAAAAATAATAAACCTTGAGTTGCAATAGAAATAGTTGTAGTGTTTTCTCAGTGCACGAAAGGGGGTCGTTTATTTCCACGCTTCACGCTTTTGAACAGAGTCCGTAGAAGTGTATATACTTTTGAAAAACCATTTTGTCCGAAAACTCAAGCTGAGTCGGGTTACAGAAGATTGCAGGTCAATTATCGAGGTACACAGCACGCAATATTGATTACTTTACTTAATATGAATAGCTTGTTTTGTTGATTAACTTGGCCATGATATAAAATTTATAATTATCTGTTTAAAGGTCTTTTGATGAGTTTTGTTGCAACCGAGAAGAAAATACCTCGGATTAAAACGACCAAATGATGAACAACACTTTAGTACTCATGTTTTTGAACAGACAGCGAAACAAAAGAAATTGAATGAGTTTGTAAATATTGACGGTTTGAGTGGCCTCGTGGCGTTAAAACCCGTGGGAAAAACGTATTTTGCACCTTCCCACACACTCCGCTTCTCGTGCTCTATTGTGCAGTGCATCTGGCCCGTAGCCAATCACCGAGCAGTATTGCCCTTGGGTCGTGCCGCACGTGCTCTCCAACAGGGAATGATTCGAAAATCTGTCGATTTCTTTGTCATGGAACTAGTTGGGAAATGATAATCGCTGCTGCGACAAGCCGCGTAGAGCGTAATTCACAGTTACATGGGTTATTTAGAGGGCGATAAATCCATAAGAAAAGTATGTTTGCCGCATGGGACAAGCTCGATTGATGCGCAGAAAACCGGAACAGGAGTATTAAAAAAGAGCGTTTTATACAAGACTGCACAATCATCTGGAATTGAAATGATGTGTCACCCTAAGTTGAATAGGTTTAGACTTCAATTTTCCAGCGCCTATTTTCTGTTTTCTGAACGTGAGGACATATCATACAAGAAATGTGCGTGTTTTAAAAAAGTACACGCGGAGGTGAATATTGGTCCGTATTTCATGGGCGTGACCTATGTCATTCTTTAAATAGCTTTGTTTTTGTCGAGTCAGTTGGCGGATGACTGGGACTTTACAGTAATTGACGAGCCGTTTAGCTGACGGTGTTTGCTGGTTGTCAATTTGTTTGCAGGCTTGGTACGTCAGTCTATCAAAGTCTTGCTAGCTTTACCATGGTTAGCTATTGTTAGAAGTGCTGTCAAAGAGGTTAAAACTTTTCCGATTTGTCAGACTGAACAAAACGCTTTACAATTCAGTTTGTTGCATGATTTGTGTATCATAGCCTTGACCGTTTATGAATTATGAATAATTTTTTGCATGAGTGAAAGGAAGAACGCAAGGGAGCCAAGTGCTTTTATGCTCTGCACATGTTACGTCTATGGGAAAAGAACATAACACATAAAACCCGAAATTATCCAATTGGTGCAAAGTCATCGAGCTACCTGTACATACACGGAACTAGTTGCTTACCATTTACAAAAAGTTTCCGGAAAGTTTGGCTGAAAAATAAATGGAACAGTCTTTTCCTGTCGTTCCAGTGAAGAGTTTCCGTGAGCAACGGAACATGTGAAAAGGTGGTCCCGTTTTTCTAGCCTGCGAACAGGCCTTCTGTTTGGGGAAAGGGTGAATTTTTTTCACCCTTTCCCCAAACAGAGAGCCTGTTCACAGGTTTTGTTTTTCGGACGGAAAGTTCTAAACGGAAGTTCGTGTTACATTTCTTGAAACCCATCTCTGATACCAGTTTTAGGCTGTCGTGGCCCTTTTTTGGATTTCAGTGCAACGATATCTTTTTTGCCAATTGCCCAAACCGTGAACCGACCGGTTTGCCCATGTTAATGATAAACAACCATTAAGTTATGGGCGCACTCTGTCTGGCTAATTAATTTGCTCGATTGTTTTTCACACTCTATGGATTTCAGACAAAGCAAGCAAAGCAATTAGTCATGTTTAACTTGGAGATGACTTCGTCACTTACTTCAGCTGAGTGACGACAAGATTCGAAATTGGGTTTAACTTTCGGCTAGGCTAGCTTACTCACTTTGCTGGTTCTCTGTACATGAAGAGTAAAGTGCAGCAGATATCGAATGCGGCAGCATATCGTTCGCATCATGATATGTCGAATAGCGAAACAATACCAAGGTAAAATTACATCTCAAGAGGCTCCATTTTGTCACAGTTGATGAATTTTGATGATAAATTAAAGTAGAGTTAGCAGAGTAGAGCAATCTACATACATACTAATTTCGATTCACAATTGGCTCCGAAGCATGGGAGAATAGAACAGAAGAAACTTACATTCTCTCTGAACATCAAGAAGATTTGTTTTGTTTTATTCCCCAAGCCTCTTAACCAAGTATGAATTTTATAACAGGTCAATTTTCAAGAGGGAACCTGCTTGACAGACGCTGGAAGCGAAAGGCAGCAAGGGTGCGTTCCGTTGGATGATCCAGATCAGGATCAGTGATCCGAGATCACTCGGATCATGGTAGATCAAATGAACCGATGAATCCTTGTACAGAGTGGATTCATCGGTTCGTTTGATCTACCGTGATCCGAGTGATCTCGGATCACTGATCCTATATTGAAAGAAGAATGAATTAACCAACAATACTTTGCGCGCTTATCTAAGGAAATGAACAATCGATTAAGGTGGCTCGATTGCGGGATTCCTTTTATGGCCAGTACCTCCCAAGTTTGAGGGTGTGTTCCTTTCGGCGAATCCAAAAACGGATTTTTTGATCCTAGATTTGCCAGATTTCTCGGTCGAAAGGAACGTGAAATCCGAAATTGGATTTGTAACCTTGGTAACCTTTCGCCAACGCGTGCAATATGCACGACAGCCTCTCAAAAAATGACGTGTTTTCTACTGTTTGACAAATTATGCGATTATACCGTGCAGAATTTAGTGGTCGGCAGTTCGAATAGCGACGATGGAACATATAAAACAGACAAAGAAAGAAGCATTAAAATTGAAAATTATCTAAAGAATGTCGGCCAGTTTGATCCAGTTCCATAGCTCGGATTTTTTTATGTAGCACGATCGAATGCCTGTCGCGTCTACAAGCGAGTTTGTAGTTAGATAGCAGTTCATTTGTTACTTTTACTTATTTCTGATTTCAAGCAATCTTTAGAGACAAATGGTTAGTATATGGATATTTTAATGTACCAGGAACAATCTTCTAATGTTTTCAGATGTTTTGCGGCAAATGAAAGCAACGAGGAAACTCTACGGCCTCTGTGGGAATACTTCAACTGAAAATACCGCTGGATCATCTGACTAATTTCGGATCCACTGTGAATGGAACAGCGTAGATCACTAATCCGTTAATCTGGATTTGGATTCTTCGGATTTCAAATCCAGTGAATCCTTTTTCAAAAAGGATTCACCAGATCAAAAATCCGTTTTTGGATTCACCGAAAGGAACACACCCTGAGCTACGTCGCCATTTACAAATATACGGGAGAATGATTACCACTGCTATAGCAATGTTATGTTGAAATCGGAGTCGTCGTAGCAACGAAATGACGTCATTATCTATTTTGCTTGCAGCCGTATTTCTCTGCGCTGGGAGTTCGCTCACGGAAGCTTGTTCCTCCAATGTTCGAGAAGTTTTAACAAAATCTAATATATCATGACTTAGCAAGGACTAAAAGCGAAGCTCTCGATAATATTTATAGTTTGCTCAAACAAAATATATAACCGGGTTATGCTAAGCGGCGAAGGAAACGAGAACGGTGAAAAAACAACAATAGGTCTAATTAGATAGCAAAAAAGCAACATTGCACGTGCAGCACACTTTTTGTACATTTCTTTGCCGTTGTGTTGCACGACCATAACGAGAAACTTCCAGAACCTTCCTGGTTACTCGTTTTGTGGAGGAAATGTCGTACCTGTTCTTGTTAATTTTCTTTTTCACTGCCGCTCATTTTCACCTTGGTGGCCGCTACAAAATTTCCATGTTGTTCTTCCAACAAAAAAATGCTGTCTGTCGCTCTTTTTCTCGTTGAGCTTCGCTGGCCTGTCGCCTACTTTCTCTTTTTCTCTTTCTCTCTCTTTCTCTTATTCCAAATTTGTGGACATGACAATTAATCTGAGCTTAACACTTTAGACAACACAGATACAGAAACAATTTCCTCTTTCCGTTTTCGTCTTTATTCCACTCTTTAGTTGTCTCTGCTTCCAAAGACGCGGGTGGCTATGCGATTTCCCGCCAAAATAACCTCAAATTGCCATACCGGTATATTGATTGACTTATTTTACATCGGTATTGCTGTGGTACGGACGGACGGACGGTCGGGCGGGCGTACCGTCACGTGACTACCAAAATGGTTACCAAATTTTCTTACCCATGGTGCTCCGCTGCGCGTACTTCGAGCGCGGGAGAGTTCCGCTATGACAGCGTTTTCGGGATATTTTGGGATGAAATGTTACTGGGTAGGAATGTAGTAAAAACTGGAAAATCTTGATGCTCGGTTATTATCTATAGAAAACGAAGCGCTTTTGACATGCAATTTCATCTCATAGTAGTTTCATTTTAAAAATTGTGTCAAGGTCACGAGGACTGTTTTAGCCTATTGCTAGAAAGAAGAAGGCTAGTACCCCGTCGCCCCTGGGGGCTTGTATGCAGAGGGCTTATTAAAGGAAATGTTTTGCATTTCCAATTAATTCTGTGGTGG